GATTGACAGTTTATCAGATGTATCAATGACAACAGATTTCTTTTATCTTCTTGTCAATCACCCTCGATATCTCAACATCTAGGTCAACAATAACAATTAATTAATAACCCAGCCTCCATAATATCTTTGTTTTATTTTAAAAAGAGAGGAAAAATGTAATAAAGTAATACAGTGGCATGGTACGTGATGGCCGCAACAAGAGGGGCTGTAGGTTACCGAGGCAGGGTTTAACCAGCTGAGGATTGTTGTAAGACACACACATACCCGCGGCTAACTCATGAACCTTTTTGGCAAAATTGTTCATAATTCTATCCCCAGCTATCAGTAGAAGTATCCTTTTCAGGTCTAGATAACTAGTTAAAAAAATAATTTAACTAGTTTAAAAAATACAAATTTTGAATTACAATGCAGACCTGTATTACATGTTTGAAAACCTTACCACATCATGGAATCAACGACAAATCTAATCTTAGGCACCCCAACTGTCAATTAATTAAACAATCTGGTACTAACCTGTACCTAAATGAATTAACCACCTTGTACCTACATGTATGGATGTACATGTACATGTATGTATGTTGAATTACACTGTATTACTCTTTTAAAGCGATAATTTCATATTTTCTAAGAAAGTCAAAACATAATTATTTCTATGTCTTTTGCTCAATAGGTTGTCATCTCTCACTATTATATGATCATAGGTAAATGTATTATTCTCCCACTTAAAAATCCTTTGACCCGGGAAATAATAACACAATTACCTCCCTTGTTTTTTTATTCTCCCTCTCCCCCCCCCCCCCCCCCATGGAATAGCTATCTTCAGACGTTTGAATTTAAAGTTGAAAATGATATTTTTGCCAACAATTTCTCAACTGACAATAGTGAATTATAGGATTACTAGGATTATTCTTTAACAAGGTAGGACTGTATATAGATACCATCTATTTTAAGGCTTTATTTTAATACATTTTAAAAATATAACTTAAAAATATGAAATTGCAACTTTAAAAACCTTATAAACCACATACATGCACATTGTACATCATGGAATTAGAGAGAGAGAGAAATTAGGTTTAATGTCCACTCGACACAACACATCACAGAATCAACCACAAAATCTAAATATGGGCACCCAAACTTTACCTTGCTCTGTTTTAAAATTCTCTACAGTCTACTAACAAGATGTCCCTCATTCTGATTCTCGTGTAGGTAATTATGATTACTAAACCAAAAGTGAAATATATTACGAAGCTCACAGTACAAATTATATTCAGAGATATGATGAGTAAGTCAACTGAGTCACTAAGTACCGGTAAATGGTTGGTCTACTATAGTACTATCTTTATCATATTAGCTACCCTACAGGGGGCGGAATTAACTAACAGAAAAATGTTTCCTACTTGTACCAAGGCTATCAATTATGATAGGGAAGATATTATTCTAAAATAGAAAGAGCCAGGTTGGAACAAGTGAAAGTGGGTGATGATATCACAGATTGAATGAGAGATGAGATGAAGTGGGGTTTAACGTCCTACTATTCTGCTCCGGCTGGGCTAATGGAGACAGGCATACAGACAGCGGCGCTATGGCCTACTCTTACATGTATATTGAATTCCAACTGCCATCCAAATGACTGCCAAGGGATCTTTTACATGCACGACAATGTGTAGTCTACACAGGACCTCAGTTTTTTCATCCTATCCAAATGACTATACACTGTCCCTTGCCAGGCCTTTCGTCCTGCAACACTGACAAGGAGGAACCACACCGGAAAATCCCGATGAACTTTCTTGGCCAATGCTGGGATCGAACACGCGAGCCACTGCCTAACCCGCTGAGCCACTAAGCAGACGTAAATGGCTGCCTTTAAATTTGGACTGTTCATGTTTTTCATCCAATATAATTGAATAGAAAATACAATAAAAAATTTTAAAATTTGATAATGTATGAATCACTTTGTAATTATTCACTCATATTACATTAATGTGTACTTTTAAAACCATTTTCATCTATTTTAAGGTTATAAAGAATAGAGCCATTTGTCCTTTAATGATTCATAAACCAATTTTCCTGTAGTAAACTATAATTTATGAATGAACACCCCAACAAATGAAATGGGATTTAACGTCCTACATGTACTTCTCTGCACCGAATCAGCTACTGAAGACAGGAATATACCATACAGTGAGCTATGAGGGAAATTTTGCCCGAACAGCGGCGCTATGGAATACTCTTATTTAAGGGTTCGTTTACGTGCACACCAATGAGTAAACAGGACCTAAGTTTTTTTGTCCTATCTGAATGACTAGACACTGCACCATTTACAAGGGGAAGCCATGCAGGAAAGGCCAACACCAGAAAATACTCCAGACCTCCTTTTTTAGCAAGCCAGCATCTTACTCACTGACTCACCGCAGCTCCCCACCATAGAATTGATAGCTAACCACATTGAAATAATGAAAAAATACCATAACTACACCTAATAGCCTAATAAAAAAAACATGTCTGTATAAAATAGTGTGTATTGTAGTTTTAGGCCTATTATGGGTGATGAGGGACATGTTAGAACAATACAAGGGATTATTTGTATGAGAAAATCAATAATACAGTTGTCTTGATGTCTCTCATGTGATGGCTTCTCACTGACTTTAAATGGCATGTCTGTTATTATTATACTGTACATCTCTCCCTGCATGACCTCACCACTCGGGTCAATATTAGACCAGTAACACACTGCACTACTTTATAGTTAGGTCAAACTATATGTATACATACACATGTCTTTACAATTATTTATATGTACACATTAAAGATACATTCTATAAGAATTAGATAATCAATGAAGTAGATAAAAACTGTATATTGAATATTTCATTCAAATTACTTTATTCAGAGTGCAAAGTTTAAATGAGTCTTGATTTTCAAAATTGTTACAATAATAAACAATGTTTCAATTATCTATTTATCATTAATTTATTAAATGGTGGACTGTTCTAATCCATTCAATATCTCAGTCATCTGATGCTCTAGCGAGTTGATTCTAGGCTTGCCATGTGCATAAAACGTTAAGCCATTCAGCCACCCAATCCACCAGTGGACAAAAAAAAAAAATGCTTTTAAAATTTACCGTCTGACAAGATTTAGAAGTTTGTAAAATAATTATTTAATTTTTTTTATAGCAAAAAACATAAGATTTAACTCCGAATATATATATTTAGATAAATATTAGAACAAAAATGGCATATATGTAAATATCAAAAAATATTGTAGCTAAAAGTCGAGTTTTTGGTCTATGAAAAACTTTAAATGTTATATCTTGATTTCACATCGCTTAGTTAAATATATAGCTAAATGTGCTGTTTTTCGTAGGTATAAATACTAAATACTAAATCACTGAAAAATCTAAAGTTAAATATTTAGCTAAATATATAAACATTTAGCTAAATATATAAACATTTAGCTAAATATATAAACATTTAGCTAAATATATAAACATTTACATGTAGCTAAATATATAAACATTTAGCTAAATATATAAACATTTAGCTAAATATATAACTATTATAGTGAGAACTGCCAGCTCTTTATCTAATCTCCCATAATGTATCTTTAATGGAACATATAAGGAGTGTATAAGATGAGTATTGAGCTGTATAGAGTATGAATAATACCAGCATTTGAATAGATCAGGCTACAGTGTACATGTAATGATCTTGTATAAAATCTACTCTATTGTTGTCAAGTGAATAGATCGCATGTTTACAACCATTCATTCTTTATAACAATATCAACAACAAAATAACACTACTGATACTATTATAACTATACAATATACGTTCTCTCCGGGTACATGTAGGTTAATGCCTAATCAACAATAAAATAACACTATACATAAAATTGTTCACCTGCCTAACCGTGTGGGTTTTCTCCGGGTACATGTAGGCCTACTCCATAATCAACAATAAAATAACACCACTGATACATGAGATTATTCACCTGCCTAACCTTGTGGGTTTTCTCCAGATACGATAACGATACTCCAATTTCTAAAGACCACTGAACACAATATTACATATATTTCTCCAAAAACTACCCCCTCCCTCCCTCTAGGCCATGCATTTTGTCCAGACAGTGGCATTTTTGCCTAATTTTTGAATTCCAACTGCTAAGGGATCTGTTACATGCACATCAGTCAGTTTCTCATTCCATCAGAATTCAGAATGAGTAGCTGCCTGCCCTGTACCACTGATTAACTGGAAAACATGCTGTAAAATCCAGAGGATTTTCCTCAACCAACGTCAGGATCGAACCTGACACCTGGTTAATAAGCAAGCACCTCACTCCATGAGCCACCATTGACCTTTTAGAGCCACCAAGTGAGATTATAATGTAGGGACCTACGAATAAATGTAGGTGACAATAGGCCTACAATGGGTAACACTGTATAGCAGCAGCCCAATCAATCAATATTGATCAGTTAATCCAGACAGTGGTTACCTTGAGAAGGGATTAAATAAACTAATTTAAATATGTAAACAAACTTTGCACGTGACACTATGACAACATCTTGGAATAATGACCTTATTTGACCCATTTCTTGAAGATGTGCTCGTGCTGTCGGCGACATCAAAAGGGCAGGTCTGTCTGCTGCATATTTTAATGTACAAATATGCACAGTGCAGCTTTTAAAGTGAAAAGATAACATTTAACAAGAGCTAAATATTCTGTCTGGTCCCAGAGATAAAAATAGATCTAATAATATAGACGTCTCGAGACGAGTTGAAAAGAAGTATATTCAAGTAATTTCAATCTGCTTCGAGTTCTTTTTAGCCATTAAAACGATGTCTCTCGGGTCATTTCAGTTTATCACTGCACTAGTCCCATTGTTACAGCCAATTGTCCATTCATAAACCGATTGAACCTATAACAAAACAAATAGCGTGACTTTCACTCTCACTGACTCAAACTCAAAGGAAAATCACCCGATTCCCACGACTTACCTCTTGTCAAAATATAAAAAGTTCCTCTTGATTTTCTTCACGTAACTACTCCAGTATTTGACTATTCATTAATGTAAAAATGTCTACAAAATATCATTTCATAAACTTAAAATCAAAGCAGTCATAAATGAACTTTGAAGCATTATATATCCAATATTTTTCGTCCTGGCTGCGACATGACACAACGAACAAGACCGCCAAGCTAGTGTTTATCGGACGAGTCCATTCTTTATCTTTCTGAGGGGTGTAAATCTTGCTTGTCAATCAACAACCGTGCTCGTACTGGGAATCCCCCAAATTATAGGGGAATTCCAAAGATTCCCACGGGGATATCCCAATTACCTGTGCGCCACAACCTTGACTTAATGGGAAATTCCCGCCAAATATCTTGTTATCTGATACGAATGCACGTGCATGCCAAGTTTACAGGAATCATTAGGTACGGTGTGTATTTTATGGCGGGTTAACGACAGAAGTTAAAGAAGAAATGATTAAAGGGAGACAACAGGGCTAGGAATTTATTTTAGTTGTGGTTTAAATGGAAAATGCAGGATAACTACACAACGATACGCAGACATAACAAACTATATGAGAATAATGAAGACTGTGCAGCTAACTAAATATTTCAAGAGGAAATCGAGACCGGAGACCCGAAAACAAGTATATATTTTTAAATATATACTTGTTTCTTTTAGTGTAGCTAGTCTAAGTCTTTAAAAAAGACTTAGACTAGCTACACTAAAAGAAACGGTAATAGGCTTTCGGGCCATACGTACCCAAGACAATTAGTCCTAAAGATGCATTATGTAAGAGCTAAATCTGCCTATTACAGGCCTTTCTTTTGGCCTAAAATGTTATAATTATTGATTAGATATTTATTGACAAGACAAGCCGATAATTAAACTCTCTAGACCATAGGGTGGTCGTGATTTTTACTGGGCTGAAACGGAATCGCCATTTAATTTAAAAATGGATAAATCAGAGTTTGTTGCGCTATGTCCAGGGTTAGGGTTAGGGCTGGGATTAGCCCTAACCCTGTTTACATCACTTGACCTCTGACGAATCTTGATGTTTGGCCTTATCAATTAGATCTAACCACCCGACACCCCCAAAATAACATTGCCGAGGCTGTCTCCTGTCTCGTTTTATAACAGGTGCACATTCTAACATAATTTAACATGACCCGCAGCAAAGGTTAAAGTTCAGCAACCATTAATTTGGGTGTGGGATAATAAAAGAACAACAGATGATAAAAAGTTAATTGTTCTCGTCTCTCGTCTCTCCATTATGGTTTTATTATAATTATCCTGGGAAACAAAGTGCGACATTTAAATATTGTAAACGATACTAAGGTTACACAATGGGTTTTTATCAGGGAAAAAAAGAATTGGAAACAGATTAGGGCTTGACAAGGACAGCTGTCTAGTCGTTCGGATGGAACGAAAAACCGAGGTCCCGTGTACACATTGGCGTGCACGTAAAAAGGATCCCTTGGCAGTTGAATTCGATATAAGAGTAGGCCGTAGCGCCGCTGCCGGGAAAAATTTCCCTTATAGCACACTGTATGGCGTATGCCCGTCTTCATTAGCCCAGTTAAGCGTAGGACGTTAAACCCCATTTCATTTCATTTCATTTCATTTGGAAAAAGATTAAAATCCATCAAACTGTGGATTCCAAGGTTCTAGTGGAATTCTCGTGATATAACAAATTATATACCTCTGCTTTACAAATGCAATATTTTAAAACAATTCGCTTTTCTTTCGGCATTAACAGGATATTTGGTTAGAGGAGGGGGTCGGGGTCTCTCATCTCACCCGGGAGGGGCTCCGGAAAGGGGGGGGCTCCTCTGAGAAAATTTTAAGTTAATCGGGGTTTCAGTGGTCAATTGTACGGTTTATCTGGACCCGAATATATTATTCAATTTCATCAGCTACATCACCCATATCAACCTATAATTATGTAATTGAATACCAGAAATATTAATTTTGTTAGAACATTCTTAATAAAATATTGAGTTTTAAAATTGCTTTAATCATTAAAATTCAACTGAGCGCAGGCACTGAACAAAGCAGATACAGTATGCAGGGGGGGGGGGGACGTCACTGAAACTTTTGCCCTGGGCGGACTGGGTGCGATAAATTTAGTGAAAAACTCACTGTGAAAGGTGCTAAATCTAGACGGAAATTTTGGACGAATAGCAACGCTATGTGGCTTACTTAAATCGAATTGAAAGTGCCAAGGGTTCGTTTACGCACAGCAAGGTGCACACGGGACCTCCGTTTTCGTATATACCATCCAAACGACACTACGTTGTCCCTTACCTGACAAGAGGGAACCACATCGATGAACTTCCTCGGCCAACAATGGGATTGATACCCCCACCCCTCCCTGTATGGTTTACAGACAAAATGATTTTAATTGATATTCATCTAGGGTTAAATGTCTTAAAACAGCATGTCCCGATGAGAGATGCACTTTTCCGACGTACCAGTTTGCTGACACTGCTCAATTTTTAAATAATATAACCGTTGGCAAACAGATTGTTATGTATGCTGTAAGTGAACAATTTGCTCGAAAGTTTTTGACAATAAAGTTTCAGCAGACTCGCCGATTTTTATTTTGTTGAGGATAGAAATGTATGTCAAAAGATCACTCACTACGGCATCCGAATATCTCATGTAGCTTATACACAATTTCAAATACGTCGGAAATTGATCATCGCAATGGTATGCCGAATGATCCTATATTCCAAATTTGGAACTATGTTGTGACTCACTGTATAGCATGTTTTTTAAATGTTTAATCGCTATTTTTATTCCTGTGAGTGGTTGTGTAGGTAGAGATCCCAGTGCACTGCTTTGCCTGGAGGTATATTAAGACGACCATGGGCGTTCTCGCCACCAGGTCCCAAAAGCTGGACCAACTTACTCGATAGGGGCATACAACATAATCTGATTTTTCGTATTCGACATTGAAAGGCGTATCTTGACTTTGGTTAAATTATGCTATTTTACGGTTCCTAATATTGAAATTTGTAGTTATTGTGTGTTATTGGGTAGTATTGGGTACCGGTAGTACTGTGTAGTTATTGGCTGTATTGGGTAATTCGATTGAGGTGTTATAACTTATATAAATAAGTGTTTTAAATTAACTGTATCGACCCTTTCAAATACGGTATAACACAATTGTATGAAATACAAGTTACTGTTTATTTCTTGCGACGTTTTGGTGAAGTTTCTCTCGTCTGTATCAAGCAAATTGTTGAAAGTGTAATCAAGACTTAACATATTTATCCCCACTGTACAACGCGACTTATTTCAATCCGATCTCCTTAGATCCATGTTCGACTTGGTGGGGGGGGGGGGGGGAGTGGCCGCGTCGTTTGTGTGTGCTTTGGATCAGAATATCTAAGTGGTGTGGTTTCGATTCTCTCTCCGTCTCTCTCTGGTTAATTGGACTGGATTTTGGTAAATCGTGCCCCCGTTCTCTAATAACCGTTATACACCATACGTAAGAAAGGGAATAAAAGGGGATGGGGGGGGTGTAACACTCGTCAACATCATATTTCCTGGAATAAAATATACAGATTATTTTTGTATATTGGTATGGTTGCACGTTCAGTACAATGGGAATAGATTGGTGGGAGGGTCAGTTCCTCCTGGGTATCTTTGAATACGAAGAACTATACACACTTTCATTGTTTTGATTTCAATCACTATTTCTTCGAGCAAAAAAATATATTTTTTTTATCAGAGGACCAATATATTTTACATGTATTTTTTTACAATTCATTGTATCTCTAATTGGTTTAACGTTAGCTACACGGGCATTGCCCAATCTCCCAAACAGAGTTGTCTTCCCTTGCAGTCCAAACTGCAGTCGAATGCTGGATAGCGAGATTTGTGTGGAGAGTGGCGCATTGCCATGCCACTCACTTTATATTAATTGTTATTTTGGTTTGTGATGTTATACTACCGGTACACTATTATCTGAATGATTTCAGTAGCCACAGAAACAACAGAAATATAAATAGAACGTATTTCGAAACGACAAAACTATTGAATTGAATACGTCGGCTTTCGGTGCCTAGAAGTAGAAAACACTTTTCGAGTCTTTAATTCGTTTCGCACTGAGTATAATTTAACGAAAACTAGTATATTGCGTTTCGCTATATAACACGGGTTGTAATTTTACTATTACTTTGTAAACTTCCGGTTTCCAAGTAAACACGTGTTTAGTAGAATTTTACAAGTAAAAATGGGAAAACAGAAGAAAAATCGCCAAGGAGCAGACAAAACGTTCCAGAAAAAGAAAGTCAAAGTGGGCAAAAAATTACCGAAATCCACGAATACGACAAATACTAGTTTTAAAACAAGAACGATACAAATTATTCAGCAGTTGAAAAAAGATGAAGGCGAAGCGACGACCAAACGAAAAGTCAACATCAAAGAATTGCTATCACAATGCCAACATTATAACGTTACAGTCCGTTTAGGTGCTGCTAAGGGATTGAAAGAACTTTTATTAATCAGCGAAGAAACTGTCATTGCTTATTTAGGATTGATAGTTGACAGAGCAGGGTCTTTGATGACGGATAAAGATTGTCATGTCCGTGAAGCCGTACTCAAATTATTTCAAGCCCTATTTGAAAAAGTGCCTGCTAACTGCATGTCTCCTTTCTTCCCGGTTCTATGCGCTCATTTATGCTGTGCCATGACACATATAAATGGAGAAATTCAACAAGATTCGCTATCGATGTTTGACCTGCTTCTCGATACCTATCCGCAATTGGTTGTCGCAGGATCTAATCAGTTGATGTCAAATTTCGTGGAACAGATTTCCAAAAAGAAATTCAAAAATGTTAAAGGAGATAGCCTTAAGTCAAATGATCTTAAATTCACACTCTCTGTTACTCCTGACAGCAGACTCTCATCACAAAAATGGCAAGCAAAGGTTTTAACCCGATTATACAAACTTCTTTCAATAGTTTTAAAACCCGAGAATTTGAAGTCCGATGAGAGAAATAAATTAGAGCATGATTTTACGTCAGGTTCCAGATTTTCCGTACCGTTTCAAAGTTACGTAAAAGATCAGTGGTCAACGCCAGGATTTTTCATCAAAACTGCTTCGACTGCTTCCAACTCATCTGGAATTCTTGACGATGCGTCAAGTGTTAAACAACTGGTCTTCAACCTTTTCCCTTTATTGTTGCAGTGCTGGGTAGAGGCACATGACCCGGAGAAGACCGAAGGAAGTCTCTTATATCCAGATGCTATCTCGGTACGAACCACCGTCCTGCAAATCATCCTTCTGTTGATTGAGTATGGTGCCAGAAACGCAGACAGTCTGGACGTACCCTGGAAAAAATGGCTAACAGAGCAATATGGAGCATCATTTGAAAATTATTTCATAGCTTGCTTCCCGTACGAGGTGCTTCAAAACAAGAAACTACTGAAGAAACAAAAACAGACGCAGAACACGGTATCTCCAGAGACGCTCAACCTGGCAGTAATCAGCGTAATGATAAAATTTATTAAATGCCCGATAGAATTTTTACTTCAGCAGTCGTGGGTTCAAACTATTTTAAAATATGTCCGAGGAGCATTAAAATCTCCCAGTTTATCGCTTCCTGTCAAGAGACATTTATTACAAGTTTTAAATGAACTGATTTACGCTGTTAGACTTAATGAACAAGAAGCGTTACTCAATGACAGTTTCGTAAGGTTTGAGAACGTGCACGCCTTGTCGCAGGAGAAACGGATGTACATCAATTTCTTTTCTTCCGTCATATTCTCACAAAGCGAACGCAGTAAACTCTCCACTCCGCTTATACATTTCTTAGAATCTTTACCGGAACTTCTTTTGAGAATTGGTTCAGCTAATACAGATATTTCTACGCTGGTAGTCTCTGTTATCAAGGAGGCCATATCATCTAATTGTACGCCAGTGATAAAAAAATGGCAAGATCACATTAACGATATATTTAACGTAGAAAATGGTGTATTTATTAACAGTAGCTCTTCCGTTAAGAAATCTTTGATTGAGATATTCTATTGGCTGCACGATATAAGTCCTACTAATCTCTGCGTGTTAGCAAATTTGATTGAAAATGACGGATTAGAGGTGAAACAGGGACTATATTTAATACAAGTTCTTCATCAACGCTATCTCAGTAAAGTTAGAGAGGGGGTGATCGTTGATAAGATGGCTGATCATTTAGGTTTTCTGCTTCTTGTCATGTCAGGTTCAGATTCTTGCAACAACAATTCATTCATGGATACAGGTCAGGAGCAGATAATTCCCATAGACTGGTCAAAGGGAGATAATTTTGAAAAACAGTTAAAATTAAACAATCTTATATGCAGAGTCATTGCTACAGATCTGAATTCAGATCAATCATTGGTTAAAGACATAATGTGGAGCCATCTTGAAAAAAAGATCGAAAATGGTGATCAAGTGAGCGTACAAATCGTGCTAAGTTTTATGACAATTTTGGAACATTTCTATGACGATGAATATTTTGCCGATGTCTCAATTAACCTGTTAATTAGTTTGGCGTCAGATTTGACAGCCATCAGAAATGGATCATTTGGTATCACCGTGCATGTAGATTTAGCAAATAATTTATTTAAAATGTTAGAAAAGATTTTGTGTGGACAATTAATAGAGAAATTTGTAGAAAGAACGATCAGCCGAATTCTAGTGTCAGAGCCAAAAAATGAGAATTCTGTCTCTTTAGTTCAAATGTTGGCCCATGTAACACATCAGAATTCTGTTCAAGTTTACATTCTTGAGAATGAGTCTTCCAGGCGGCAACTGTTCGTAGATCACTTCCAAAAATTAGTGAAATGTGTAGAGGAAAGATTTCCGGTGAGCACCTCAGAACCATGGTGGGCCCAATTCCTATATTTCTTAGAACTGTTAAAGTAATCTATTCTTTGACTTGGCATAGTTTAGTTTTTATGAGGATGGGCAAATTTAATATCACCAATACCAATGTACTGAAATTTCCTAATGTAAGAATTTGAAAACCAGGCCTGAAAATAATGACAAGAAACATGACTAAATGTCAGGCACTAATGAACTTGTATCTGACATTTTGAAATTAGTTAAAAAGATTTTCAGTGAGCACTTTAGAACTGTTGTGGGCCCAATTCTGATATATCTTAGAAGTGTTAAAGTAATCTAATCTTTGACTTGGCATAGATTAGTTTTGAAATTTTTGAAATTAGTAAAAATTTTGAAATTTATGAAATTTATGTTGGACATGTACATGTATTAAAAAAGTGAAAACACCGTAAAAAGACAGATCTGCACGAGACAAAAAGACAGGCACCAGATGGATTGTCTGTGACTGGTGCGTGTACACACTGTACCTATATTTCCAGGCTTGTTCAAAATACAACCTTGATTCTTTTTCAGTGTAAAATTATGTGATAATTTTGTATAATTAAGAAAAAAACTCAGAAAACATTGATTATAATAAAGTGCTATGATATTTTTCTCTTAGTTCTTATTTTTTTTATTATAAATGGTTAAAGAGAGAGAGAGAGAAAGAAATGGGTTTTATGTCCACTCGACACAAACTAGTCATTTTGGGACTAACATATGGTTCAATTTTATTTCAATAATTCGCTTGCGCGTAGGAGTCTTGAGCAGTGGGAGGAACTGGAAAAAACCAACGAGAGGTCGGACAGGCAACCCTACTCCTTGTCACGGTACAAGCGGGAGATCAAAACCACGCCAGTTGACTCAATGTTAGACCTCACAAGCTCTGATTCCTTGGGGGCTGATTCAATTTAGGTTAGCCATATTGGACATTAAGACCCAGCAAACACATTAGCTAAGCTTTCCTAGTTATTAGCTAAGTAATGTTTGTTTACAGTTTTTGACCAATCAGCATAAAACATTATCCTGTGTCACATGTACCAGTAATAATAAAGAATGGTTGAATTTTTAAATATTTATATCATTATGACATTTTTTATACAAAATAAAACAACAAATATATAAATGAGATGTCAGAAAAGACACAATTATAAGGACGGAATGTTTTTCATATATCTGTTCTCTCAACTAATAATTTATACAAAGATACTGTTACCTTTGTATAATTTAAAATAAAAATATATATATAAGACAATATCTGATTTAAAGCCATTTACGGACAAATAATTCATAAATATATTTATAAAACATATTTATTACCAAGGATCAAATTCATTATAAATGTTTATTTTTAATGTTTGTAGTTGACAATCTTCGAAAATTGGAGTAGTCTCTCATCTCCGCCCATCCCTTTTGCAGTTTCCTGTTACTGTATTCTAAAGCCAGACGATCCACTTAAATGTCTCGATTATGACCTTTAAAGAACACTAACACCAATGTTGAATAATTATAAAGATATTTACAATGGGGGACGGAATTTCAGAATAAAGTTATACTTAAATAAACATATTTAAATTGATACCATTGATAAAGTGAAGCATTTATGACAAAGACTATTTATCTTTATAAAGATTTACCAATAGTATATCAATGAGGGACATTTTAAAGATATTTACTTTAATACTTTCAGTATATCGATGTTGGACATATCTTGAAGATTTTATACTGTATTTATCTTTATAAACATATACCATCAGAATATCCATGAGAGATGTATTTTATAACAAACGCTATTTATTGATATACTATTAGTATATCGACGAGGGACATATTTGAAAGATATTTACATTAATACCATCAGTCAATCTGATTACAATACAGATCTATAATTCATTTGGTTTTTATATACTTTTGAAGGCCTACACTACATGACGATCTGACAAGTTATAGTGGGAGTTTACGTCAGGGGTCAAACGAGCGGCTTTTGACCCTTATGATGTTAGATATTTGATTAACCAATCAGCATTGATGTTTCTAGTGGGTTACCCACAGTTCCATGCACCTCACGCTAAAAACTTGCCGTAACAGACTGTTTCATTGGCTAAACCCTCACATCATCCAGACCGCGGGTTATATAACAACGCTTCCAGATCCTAGTGTAGTAAAGACAAGCAAAACAAAATTTTGAACTATAAAAAACGAAACGAAATAGGATCTGTGTTTTAATTAGATTGAGATAGTACCATCAGTATATCTACGAGGGACATATTTTATAATGGAGGCTATTTACAATAAATATACTGTAGATATGTACACCTATTTTAGTAAATAAAATAAAGATTAGATATCATGCGTTTGTTTACTGAGTGTAGCTTTATCTTTAAGTTTAGCCTGAAGTAAAACATGTTCCACTACTCCGATACGAATATCCATCTGGGTTGATTCTTTCTTTATCTGTTGGATAGCTTGTTTTATTTTTACCAGAGGGGCTGAAAAAAAAGTAAAAATAAAATCCATTTATGTATATTTTCTATCATTATTGTTTTAATACAGCAGGAATGGACCTCTGCTGTAAATGGTGCTTTCTAGAGTGTATCCTATGTACAAAACCTCCAGAGACTGCTTTGCATATCAATTCATCAATAACAATATAAATTCAAGACTAAAAAGGCCCCCACCAAATGATGTGAAGATATTAACTTTTTGGGGGACCTTAGAGTCTACCATACTGACAGGTTTCTTCTCAGTACATCTCTGTGTCCTGTTTCTTAAAATCTTAACTAAAAATCCAAATTTTAGTAGATACTTCAATTTTGATTGGCTAAGCACTAAAATCAATCTAATATTATCCAATCAAAGTACTAAAATTTGGAATTTATCTTATTTATAATTTTGTGGATTAGGCCCCTGTAGTACAATATGGTATATTTTCATTTCACACCTCTTATCATAATTGTTCACGACATTCAATATAGACACATGAAATGAACTGATGTCTGCACCAATCCGGCTAATGAAGACAGGCATATGATATGCAGTGTGCCATTTTAGTGGTACTCTTGTTCTGACAATGGCATTACAGTCTACTCTTGTTCTGACAATGGTGTTACAGTCTACTCTTGTTCTGACAATGGTGTTACAGTCTACTCTTGTTCTGACAATGGCATTACAGTCTACTCTTGTTCTGACAATGGTGTTACAGTCTACTCTTGTTCTGACAATGGTGTTACAGTCTACTCTTGTTCTGACAATGGTGTTACAGTCTACTCTTGTTCTGACAATGGTGTTACAGTCTACTCTTGTTCTGACAATGGTGTTACAGTTTACTCTTGTTCTGACAATGGTGTTACAGTTTACTCTTGTTCTGACAATGGTGTTACAGTTTACTCTTGTTCTGACAACAGCATTACAGTCTACTATTGTTCTGACAATGGTGTTACAGTCTACTCTTGTTCTGACAATGGTGTTACAGTCTACTCTTGTTCTGACAATGGTGTTACAGTCTACTCTTGTTCTGACAATGGTGTTACAGTCTACTCTTGTACTGACAATGGTGTTACAGTCTACTCTTGTTCTGACAATGGTGTTACAGTCTACTCTTGTACTGACAATGGTGTTACAGTCTACTCTTGTACTGACAATGGTGTTACAGTCTACTCTTGTTCTGACAACAGCATTACAGTCTACTATTGTTTTGATTTTCAACTGTTGCAGGATCTTTAACATGCTGCCAAGCGTTTACACGACCTTGTGTCACCCCTTCTGAAGGACTAGACACGTTTCTAGCCAGGCTTTCCATCCTGCACCAGACAGGAAAATCTTAAGATACTTTCTTGGCCAACACTTGGACCTATACCCACCTGGCTACAATAACTTGATAGAATACTAACCTCCATCAGTCATACTGCTACCTCGATCTTCCATTTCAGATTTTATCTTTTCTAATTCTTCTGTTACCTAAAATATAACAACATTAATATTGTACTATCTATATATATGTTTGTTTGTCTGTCTGAACAATGAACTTACAAACTACAAGAAACAATAGAGACAGTAATCGAGGATATAAAACAATAAATAAAAACATAGTGGTTTATAATCTCAGTAGAATGAAGTCCAACAAGAACATCCTGCGCTCTACTAGACTAGAAAAGGAAAATTTGTTTCCATAGAAACCTTCAAATGATTAAAATCTTAGAATTTTCTAACAAGCAAAAGGCCCAACTATTATAATAGGTTGATATGTGTACAAAGTTTCATGAATATATCTTGAACGATTTATGAGATATGAACTAAGCTCAGCTCATGATGCATTTTTGATGAAATAGGAATCCCAATTTTTTTAGTTGTTTGCGATTGACAACATGTATGAAATGAAAATCCTGTTTCTTACTTCTGCTAAAATTCTCGAGCGTTCTGTAACACCTCCACTAGCTTGACGATATCTTTCTTTAGTTTCTGTCGACTGTTCCTGTATATTTCTAAAATCATGTAACAAGTGTTCTAATTGGCTGTTGAGGTATTTTTCTCTGCTGCCTATCTTCTCCAGTGTACGACTGATCTCGTCGTGAAGTTTATCGAGGTAAGTTTTTGTCTCAGTGAGTGATGTTTCTATGCCATCTTTGTGTTGATGCATCTGATCCAAGTGAACTCTCCAATCCTTCAAAAAAAAAAATATCTTATTGAATTAGAGAGAGAGAGAAATGGAGTTCAAACGACTCGACACAAACTAGGTCATTTCGACACAAACTAGGTCATTTCGAGACTTGTCATATACAAGCAGGGAATCAAAATCACGCCACTTGACTTAATGACAGACTTTAACCATTTGGCCAACCAACGCCTCCCTTAATGTAATGAAATGAAAATGGTTTAGCATCCTACTGTTATGCTCTGTGTGGGAAAATGAAGACACAATCTCTTATTGATAAAAGCAAGAGAGAGTGAGAGGGGTGTTTAATTCCACTCAATGTGAAATAGGTCATTTTGGGACTAACATTGGTAATCTTTATTTCAATACTTCACCTGAATGTAAGGATTTTTTTAGTGTGTAGTAGTGAAAGAGAACCGATGGACCCTGAGAAAACCAATGAGGTTAGACAGGCAACACTTATCCTTTTCAGATCTAAGTTTGAAATTGAAACTATGCCATTTTACTGTTTGACAGTCCTGCACCAAACTGAGGAACTTACTTGACTAACACTGGGTTCGAACCCGGGACGTTCTGGTTAGTCAACCAGCTCCATGGTCACTGAGCCACCGTGGCTCTATGCTTACTTATAAGGTCATACAAAAAAAAATATTCTGGTTCTCAGGGTCGTATGACCTGTTTTTATTTTAAAAAATAAAAACAGTATCATTATTAAATACCTCATGTAAATATTTTCCCTCAATTACAAGAAGCAAAAATTTGAAGTTTACGCAACCCTGATAAATGTTACTGACAATTATAAATGATACTGGATAATCATACATTCCTATAAGCAACATGAGATAAATGATACTTGATAATCATACATTCCTATAAAAACATGAGATAAATATAGTGCCTTGAAATGTGATGTGAGAATTCATCTAACCCAGCACTGATACTTTGACAAAATAAAAACACAAAAATAAAAACCTTCCCCCCACATCAGATTTTTTGGAAGGATTGTCTGAGAACCAGAATATTTTTGTTCGTATGGTCTAGTATTAGTAGTAATCTAATTTTATAGACTATAACAAACCTTATTATCAGTTCTAATTGTGACTTTTAATTGTGGCATGACTCTTTCTACTTCTAGTTTCCAATCAGCAGCATCTTGATTACTTTCTAATATTTCTTCTGGTTTTGTTGATTCAGCCTAAAATACAAATATTACATATATGTTGAAATTTCCTGGAGCACTGATGCATCCATTTTTGGAATTCACATCTACAAGTCGTGATAGGTGCTTTGCAGGATATGCTTATATGAACTGGACCCAACCAAATGCTGTAAAATGTTTGAGCAGAAAACCCTAGAACTCAAGCAAGGTTTGAGGTGGTCTAAAGAACAGTATATTCAGATGGTTACGGGCGGAGAGAGAGAGAAATGGGGTTTAACATCCACTTGACACAAACTGGGTCATTTCAGGACTAACATATGGTTCAATTTTATTTCCATAATTCGCTTGCGCGTAGGGGTCTTTAGCTGTGGGAGGAAACTGGAGGACCCGGAGAAAACCCACGAGGTTGGACAGGCGACCCTACTCCTTGTCACGTACAACCAAGATGGTTACAGGATGTCAGGGATATAACAGTATGAAATACATGATCAGGTGTAGTAAATATTTACAGGTACCAAGTGCAAAGGGGTAAACGGAAAAGTATCGATATTTGAAATGTATATTCTAAATCTGAGAAAATCTTGAGTTAAACATTAGAGGGTTTACAGCACTGCGCTCAGGTACATAACACTAATGGGCTCAGACACCTTATAATTATGACCTGTAAAAAAGGGGGGATAGTGCAGGACAACTGCTTAACAAGATATAAACAGAACAAACAGTCCATGAATACATCATTTAAACTTACATTTTTTCTGTTTAAATGTTTCATGCCTTCTAAATCCATGATTGGTTCATCTTCTTCTTCAAAATCTTCTTCAACATCATCAAACTATTAAAACAACATTATTGATTAGGGGCCAATATTCTTGACAAATAGTGAAATGAAATGTAATAGAGGAATACGACAGGGCTAATGAAGACAGGCACACGCCATGCAGTGTGCTAATGCTATGAGGAAATTTTGCCTGGACAGTGGCGTAACAGCCGACTCGTATTTTACGAATTCCAATTGTCAAGGGTTCATTTATGTGCATGCCAATGTGAACATGGAACCTCATTTTTTTGTCCCATCCTAATGACTAGACACCATTCGTTGCTGTTTCAGACCATTTATATCTTACCATAGGTGTATCATCAACTGTATTTAATGTCAATTCATTTTCATCTTCTACTACATGTTGTTCATCAACTTCTTCTTCCGGATAAACAGGTCTGGAAAATATACAATTCTCACTCAGTAAATCAGTATATAAAAATATCACATTTCTTTGACATGTCCTTCTTGGCCATAAATCAAATCAATGTTGATAACCACAAGTTGCGACCTTTTCTGTTTCCATGCAAAGTGTTGCGTTCCTTCGTACCATAGTTTTGTCAAGAAAATTAAAATAACCCTTTCTTTGAAAATGCGGTAGAAATCTATTACCGTGCAGTAGAGTGGTACATGATGTTATTGTGTAATATTTCATAATTTACTTACTTTTTCCATTTAAATCCTGTATATTTGATAGCTTCGTCGGATAATCTACTTAATACATATAAACATTGTTCACCACATCCTTGTTTTAACTTGGACGGAGGAAAATCTATTTTATAATTCTGGAATTAAAATATTTATATGTTCAGCCTTTTATAAAAAAGAAACAGAAAAAATAATTCAGTCTTTTGTTAAAGAAAACATAATTTGATGTCTCTTATAAAAAAATTAAAATAAAATAATGTTCAGCCTTTTATCAAAAAAAATAAATAAATGTTCATAAAGAATGCATATTAATGGTTTTTATAATCTATACTAATATTTGTGACTGTCATTTGTTTGTTTGTCCGTCTGTTTGTTCAGGGTTTGCAACTACACAGGGCTGTCCCAAGGCTGAAATTTGGTGTATAGGGGTAGCTCAGACCAGTTCATGGATATACATGTGCTACGCCTGGTCAACCGCTAGTTTCCAATAAATGTTATGTACTTACAAATTTTCTGACTTCATCCAAAAGACTAGATATGGTTGCATTTGGATCATCATACTGAAAAATATAACATAATATAATAAACTATACATCTAAAACCACCGAAAAAGATATACATGTATAGAAACTAAAGCACTTTATTCATCAAATACCCAATTAGTAGTAAACATCACAAATCATGCCCATATCTTTCTAAATTAAATGAGCAGCTCTGTATTAAATAAATTTCAATGCATTTACTAATATCATACGTCTTTCTTTCTTTGAATTTTACTGTCTAGAATGTTTCTATGGACCTGTTCAATGTATATTATTCTCTTTTTTTGAAAACCAGAAAAGGTCAGTGGCTTTGTGTATCTCAAGTACTTCTGGAGACAGGAAATTCAAAGAGAAATCCAAAATCTTCAAAGAAGTTGAAACGTTTATGTTTTTAGAATATTGTACATGCAGAATTGTTTTCTATTCATGTTATCCTTCCAGACCTCTCTCGGCTTGTGAGTTGCTGGTTAGTGGCTATACATGCTACCTGTCTCAGCTCTTGAGTAAATCACTATAAACAAAACATCTGTGACAAAATGTGCAATATTTCCTGCTCTTCGTATCTTTACTTACTTAAAAAAAGCTATATGAAGTAACAGGTAAATTAGAATTTAAAGAGATGAGTAATTACGATCAATAAATAAATTTGATGTTTTTTTACCTCTTGTGGCTGTTCAAATGTTTTCCCAGATTTCCGTAAGAGCCATGCAGACAGTGATGTAAACATATAAAACTGTTCACCAGGATTTGTTGGTATTGCGAAATAATGTCTGAAATGAAAAGAAGATATTCTACAGATATCAAATAATATTTTAACATGTAAAATTAACGGCGTTGGTTAAGCGTGAGACTGACTTAAGTGTGGTTTGCATCAATTCAACACAAGCTAGGTCATTTCAGAAATATCTTTATTTCAATAATTGGCTGGCAATTAAGTAGCAGCCTGTGGCAGTGGGGGAAATCAGAGGATCTTAAGAATTAACATGAGGTAGGGGCGGCCCTACTCCCACACCACTCCACTTGATTCAATGACAACCCTCAAGGTCAACCTCAACCCCCACTTCTTGACTTAAAATCTACCCAGAAAGTTTCTATGACAAATAGTTTAGTGTAAGAGAAGTTTAGAAATCTTACTTTGAAATAGGTTTCAGATTATTTTTACGGATAAATTCTCTGCCACAATCTAGAATACTGAGTTTATCCATTAATTCTTCATTTTGTATAAAAGGTTCGTAGAATTGTCCAGGTCCAAGCTCATCACCATCATCACCTCTTTTCTTATCTTCCGCCATCTTTTTGTTCTTAAAAAAAAAAACACAACAGAAATATTATTAAGTGGTTATTCACTCACAAGAAACGGTCAATGATGCAGGACAGCTGTCTAGTCATTCGGATGGGACGAAAAACCGAGGTCCCGTGTACACACATTGGCGTGCACGTAAAAGATCCCTTGACAGTTGGAATTCGACATAAATGTAGGCAAAATTTCCTTCATAGCACACTGTATGGCGTATGCCCCTCTTCATTAGCCCAGTTTGGAGCAGAACAGTAGGACGTTAAACTTCATTTCATGACAGTGACAGCTTTTTGATAAAATTATTATCGATGTTTGTTTCATTTCTAAAGTGTCTAAGACTAACAAACAATCTTGCCTTTATTTCAGTCAGATTACTGAAAAATAGAATACGGTACAGAAAAAGACAAACAACTTACTTTATTCAAATTAATTTGAGCCTTTTATAGAACAATAATCAGTAATAAACTTCACATAAATTTCTTCTGTCCTTTCTTGAATCGTCTGGTATTTCAGCACTGCGCATGTTTCAACACGATTTCCTTTTCCGGTTTGTTAGGGAGAAATCCATAGAATTATATTAGATAAATATGTAAGCAAATATTGAGTTTTGCAAATTTAATCAAATGGAAATAAGTGTGACAAATATATATAAATAGTTAATTGGAAAGGCTAGATAGTGAATCTTGAATTGAATAAATGTGGAAATGTGACGATGTTTGATGACGATAAACAACTGCTCCCTACTCCATGTTTTCATTCGGCAGGTTGCCATAAACAAAACAAGATGGGTTCTGCTAAAGAAGTAAAAGAAGTCGATAAATTTTTATCTAAAGTCGATGAAATTGGTGAGAAATTATTATTTTAGGTCCAGGTTATGGGAAATGTATTTATTGTTGTTAAAAGGTGTTTTGAATGATTAAAATGTAAAGAAATTTTGTCTCAAGTTTTTAAAGTCCAAGACCAAAGCCAAGTCAAACTCAACTGGAAAACTACTTTCATTTTAAAAAGATTTTGGTTTTGAATCTTGTTGACCAGAGAAGCGGTTCACCACACTTTGTCATTTTTTCTGAAACCCGATTCAAACCATGGATCACAATAATACTTCGACATGCATTCGCCGGCTCCACATACCAATCAAATTTTGAGATTTTTTCTTTAGTTCATAGTTGGCAATTCAGCTCAGCCTACGGCTACAGACTGTTTAGCTAGAGGAGATTGACATCTGTGATATCAAGTATATCAACTATAATAAAATTATACTGTATTATATATTATATAAACGTAACATGATTGTAAAATTATACTAGTGTCAACTACATGTAGCCATCCATATAGTGTAGGTAGTATTACTAGCAAAAGGTCTACTTTTTATTACTATATTAGCCCACGCGAAAATCTTTCATCAAAGTGGAGCTCTACTTTTAACATTAGAATATTAACATTCTGTCTTAAGACTCTCCACTGTTTGCGCAACCTCCGCATCCAAACCACCACTTATTTTGCACACTTTTCCTAGTAAAATCAACTGATTCATTGTCACAGTTTTATTTTTGTTGTTAGATTCCATTATAAAAGGTTTAAATGCTAAAGATGAAGCTGATCAACAAGATGCCTCACATAGAGCTGATGATTATCTCCAGAAACATCAGAAGAGAAGGGAAGAAAAAGAGGAAAGAGGTGATTAATACAATAGTTTATTTCTTTAGACCTACTATCCTATCCTCGGTGTTCTTACTCCTTTTAAAAATGAATTAATCAGAGACCAGAATTAAATCACCTGAGGCTATTGTCGACTTCAGGAAATAGGATCAATAAACTTCCATTCCCTTTAATATTAACAGTTGAAGAACCTTTGAAGTTATGTAAGCATTATTTAAATGCATCTGGACAAATTCTTCGTCCTCAAATTTCCCAGTAAATATTGTCACATATATACATCTAGAGTGCATTAGTTACATGTATCTGAAAGGAATTAAAATACAAAAAGTAATTTATTGTTAATCCATTCTTTTTACTGTAATATTACAGGATTTAATAGAACGGTTATTAATACACTGCCTTCAGTACAAGCCCCACCAGGCCCTGTTGGTCTAGCAGATAATATTGATCAAGGTTAGTACATATCTAGTCCTAACTGCTAGTGTAAAAATCTGGTGTTGATTGTATCACAAATATAAAATTTAATCATTTCTGATTTGTTGGGAAAAAAAACCTCTGAATTTGAAAGAGTTTTTATCTCCTAATTCAAATACATGTATGTTCTATTTACTAAATAGATCTTATGTTGATTTGATTTGAATGTATACTAAATAAATCTAGTGTTAATTTGAATGTGTCGTATACAATATCTAGTGTTAATGTGAATGTGTCGTATACAATGTATAGGAAATAAATCTAGTTTTATTTATGTATGTCATTACTAGATAGATCTAATGTTAATGTGAACGTGTCGTATATACTAGATAGATCTAATGTTAATTTGAATGTGTCGTATATACAAAACAGGTCTAACGTTAATTTGAATGTGTTGTATTTACTATTTAAAATAGATCTAATGTTAATTTGAATATATATTTACAAAATTAATCTAGTGTTAATTTGAATAAATCTAGTGTTAATTTGAATAAATCTAGTGTTAATTTGAATATCTTCAGCTGGTTTTATGGCTGTGATGGAGAAAGATGCCCAGGAAAGAGCAGAAAGACGTCAAGTCAACCAGAAAGAAGCAGACAGACTCAAGTTATTGGGAAATACAGAATTTAAAAATGGAAATTATGAAAAAGCTTTGGATTATTACAATCAGGTGCCATTTTATATTACATCATATGTATTTTTGTCAAAATGTCAAAAATTGAAAGGCAGAAAAAAAAACCCCAACATTATATTCTCTCAAATCTACATTTGTAGAATTGTTTGGAGAAAATATATTTTTAGGATTCATGAAAAATTAATATTATTAGCATTAAATGTCGGTTTCTAAAATTAAATGGTCTTGTAGATAAATAGCAGCTTAATGCCCTTATTAAACATAGAACGATGAGATACACATGTACATGTATAGTACAGGCTACAGCTTACTTAACAAGTCCTATAATTTGTCAAGACTAGATCGAGAGAAGCCTAGTGGAAACATTGCTATTTCATAGAATTGTGTCCTGTGTAATTCCAATTCAATTTCTGAGTACCATTGAGGCAATTTACATGTATAAGATTAATTTTAATACTTGCTTGTAATTAAGTTTCTATCTTTTTTATTTTAGCTCAAGATATTTGAAAATATTGCTCTCTATTATTGTTTTATCTTTTCAATGATTTCATCATGCGGTGGATAAAATGATAGCTCAATTTTTATTGTTTTATTTCAGGCAATGGATAAAATACGAGATAATCAAGCTATTTATACGAACCGAGCTCAAACTAAAATAAAACTAGGAATGTATACAGAAGCTATAACAGATTGTGACTGGGCATTACGGGTACGTTAATTCTATTATAGCCATATCTTTACATATATTTAACTGTACAGATCAACATATATTATAGATAAAATACATCTATAGATTACCATAATATTTATACTTTTCTCCCTTAATTTTAGAAAATAAAACCAGTTGGATTACACATGTTTCTAATAGCCAATTCAGACACTCAAAATGAACTGGATTAAAATCCCTGGCTGTTTTAAACCAGTTTAAATATAAGCGGAGGAACAGGGTATAATTACCTCTGTCCATCTTTATTTTCAAATCTGTGATTCTTTGACATCTTGACTTTTTATGAAGATTAGGCGAAAATGGATCTGCCAAGGCAAAATGCCCCTCAATGCACCTTAAACTGTTAAACTCAATTTCATTTCTTGTCGTATTTCAGATCTCTAGTGATTGTTTAAAGGCCCATGTTCATATGGGTAGAGCCTATCTTGGTTTAAAGAACTTCATCAAGGCTAGAGAATGTTTTCAACAAATTTTAACAGTTGACCCTAAAAAATCTAAAATGGTGGAAGGTAAGATTGTTATGTATTCAGTAGACTGATTGTAAGTGCTGTATCAAATAATTATTAATTTGCGGTTTACCCGGCGCTGTCCAGTTTGTACCCCTAATTCCGGAAGCAGTAGGCTTACAACACCTAACCTATGTTACTCTCCGGTCCAAGCTACCCCTATACACCAAATTTCAGCCTCGGGACAGCCCTAGTGTAGCCGCCAACACCCACGACTAAGGCCATTCAAAAATAATATTCTGGTTTTCAGACAATTCTTAACAGAAATCTGATGTGGGAGAGGTTTTTATGTTGTGTTTTTCTTTTGTCATCACTACTGGGCTAAATGACTTCTCATTAACATCACATTTCAAGGCACTGCATTCATGTAGCTTATAGGAATGTATGGTTATCCAGTATAAATAAATGAGATTATGGCATATTTCTGAATTCATTAAAATGCTTTTATAGAGCTGCTTCCTGTACATTAACGAGTGGTAATTAATGAGATTGTATTTATGTTTTATTTTTAAAAATAAAAACGGGTGACAATAAGGCGCTTGCTCACACCCGGTATTGGCTGTGAAAATTCCCCATGATTTTCTGGCATGGTTTTCCCTGTAACTGATACAGGGCCTGGCAAGGAACAGTGTCTAGTTCTTTGGATGGTCCAAAAAAAACTAAGTCCAGTTTACATGTAGGAGTTCACATAAAAGAATCTTCACTATTTGGAATTCGAAATAAGAGTAGACCATAGCACGTCTGTCTGGGCAAAATTTTAATCATAGCACACTGCATAGAAGTTGGTGCAGAAAGGTAGGACATTAAACCCCATTTTATTTATTTTTATTTATCAGATTATTTGGCTGATGTTAATCACGAGGAGATGAAAGAACAACAGACAGAGAAAGTTAAAGAATTGTTTGAATCAGGAAATAAAGAAATCACAAATCTTGTAGAATTACTGGAGAAAATCAACAAACCTGATCAACTTCCACTTTATTACAGTGGAGGATTCAGAGTTATCTCCTCTATAATGACAAATGGTAAGAATTACATTAAATTTCTCAGGGTATTCTGAGATGACATGATAGATCTAATGTTATATTTCTCTAAGTCATCTGGAATTGCATGATATGAACCACCTAAAACCGCTTGACTAGGTCTTTGGGCAGAGCTGTTCATGTGTCTTCTGTGATTTGAGTGGTCCAAGTGCTGAAGGTAATTTTTGTCCAGACTATTGAGACTGCTTGACATAATGCCATATTTTCAAATCATTATTCTTGAAAAATATCTGTTTTAGTTGCTAATTGGTAAATTCACGAAGAATCAAATTTTTGAATTATTTATTACAGAGAATGATAAAAGTATATTTCGAAGTAAAGGTGGAATAGATCTAATATACAAACATCCAACACTCCATAGGTATTTACATTATTTTATAGATGAGAACGTTCATCAGGATTTTCCGGCGTGGTTTCCACTTGTCAGTGGTGCAAGATGGGGGACCTGACAAGTGTGTCTAGTGTTTTGGATGGGAGAAAAAACCAAGGTCCCTTGTACACATTGGTGTGTACATAAAAGATCCCCTGGTAGTTGAAATTCGATATAAGAGAAGACTGTAGTGCGTATGCCTGTCTTCATTAGCCCAGTCGGAGCAGAACAGTAGGATGTTTAACCCCATTTCATTTTCATTTTCTTTTTAGCGATTCGACTTTCACAATCCCTCAAATGACGTTCATATTTCCCTCGACCTATACTAAGCAAGCATGACTTGAGTTGAACATATTTAGTTGTTCAGTTAATGCTATGCATGTGAAATTCTTCATCATTATTGTTTTTTTTATCTTGATATAACCCATTAATAACAAAGTTTGAATCATGAATTACTGAATGATGATATGAGATTTGAGTCAAAGATTTTCGTTCCAATAGTGAGTTTCAGCAACTGCCAAATTTTCTGATGCATCCAAGTGTAAAATTTTACTTAATATCAGTCCGAACAAACACTGAGATTTTTATAAAGAGGTCATTCCTGTTATGCTAGGTTCCCACTTTCGTGCGATAGGGTTGTCCTTATTGAGTCCAAGATCTGGTACGTGCATATACCTTCTGATAGGTTTCGATATGATCAACACGATTGCTGCGACTGACGTCAATATATGATAAGACTGGATAGGATCCCCACGATTACTCCACGATTAAAACCACGATTTCAAATTGTGAGAGTGGGAACCTAGTCAGTCATGAAAATGTCCTCGAGTGACTGATGAATACAGATTGTATTGTATAGTAGTATTATATATTTACAGGTGTTTAACAGCCTCACCATTAAGTTTAAATCGTGAAGAATTGGATGTTTTAGATGCAGCTATCAACATGTATATTGTAGTCTGTACAGATAATGGTTCGTATTTGATATAGAAATAGTGACAAAGAAAATATACATTGGGTTCTTTTCAAGTGGGGGTTGGATGGCTGAATGGTTAGCGTGTGCGAGTTGTATCATAAGGTCTGTCTTTAAGTCACCTTGCAGGGTTTCGATTCCCCTGTTGCAGTTACAAGGAAAAGGGTCACTTGTCCAACCTCGTGGGTTTCCTCCGGGTCCTGGGATTTCTTCACTGCTAAAGACCCCTACGTGCAAGCGAATTATTGAAATAAAATTAGAGAGGTCAGCATGTGGGCACTGTATCATAAAGTCTGTCATGGAGTCAACTAGCATGGTTTTGATTCCCTGGTTGTACGTGAGTTTACCTCATGTCCTCCAGTTTCCTCCCACTGCTTCGAAATGACCTTGCTTGTGTCAAGTGGATATTAAACCCCTCTTTTCTCTCTCTCTGGTTGATGCGGAAAGTAGGATGTTAAACCCCATTTCATTTATACTCTCACTCTGATTCGAAAATATTCTGGAAACAAACTTTCCATTCAGATTTAAAATAAATTACTTTTAATTATTTTCAGATTTTAACAAAGAAGAAATCATGAAATCAACAGTTTTTATTGATGGTGTAACTCAGTTTTTACAAGCTAAGGTGAAAGGTCAGAGTCAAGGTCATATTATAAAGTCATTGTGTATACAGTTGTTACACGTTTTATCAACCAGTAAAATAAGTCGATCTCTAATAGTTACAAGATTTGATCTATCCAGGTACGTATATCAGACATTCTAAGATAACACTCTTTAAATTTTGTTGTTTTTACTTATTACAAATTTGGAAGCCACAGTGACCTAGTGAGTAAGACATTGGCTCGCTAACCTGCATTGGCGTGGTTCCCGGTTGTTAGTGGTGCAGGAAGGAGGGCTTGGAAAGGGAAAACGTATAGTCTATTGGATGGGACAAAAAAACTGATGTGCCGTGTACACATTGGCATGCACGTAAAAGAACCCTTCGCAGTAGTGCCGCTGTCCGGGCAAAATCTTCCTCATAGTACACTGTATGGCGTAGGCCCGTCTTCAATAGCCCAGTCGGATGTTAAACCTTGTATCATTTCACATATTACAAATTTATCTCCAATACATTATTATACATGATGTTATAGACAGGTTGATTTCATTAAAATTATTAAAAATGTAAAGTATGCAAACTTTAAATATTTGTATTATGTTTGTATTGATGATATATTTGTAGGTTATTAACCAGTATATTTCATCAGATTAAAACCAACACAACAACAGCCAAAATATCAGCAGCTTTATTAAATAATCTGGCTCTAGATAATAAGTAAGTATATGCCCTGAATATCACCAGTTTTATTAAAATATATTAAAAGCTAAAAGTTTTATCCCCTGCATATATCAAATGTACACATGTTGTATATTTTAACTGACGACCTGCTTTTGTCTTTGAATGTAGATTGTTATTGAACTTATTTTGCATATATTTTGTGTATATTTTGGTTATATTTTGTGTATATTTTGGTTATATTTTATTTTGGTTATATTTTGTGTATATTTTATGTGTATTTAGGTTAAATTTCGTATATTTTTCAGGTTTAAAACAGCTATTAGAGATACTATAGATGATCAGGTTCTTCCATCATTTGAATCACTTGTGGTAAATTTATTTACAGCATTCATAATATTTTCTGACTACATGTTTACCAATCTAATTTTAAATTTGACCAACTAATGTATGTACATTGCATAATTGTTCTGTGGTCACTGATAATACACCTGAAAATGACTCAGTGTTTTACATTAAAATACAGCCTTTGTCACAAGGGGTAGGAAAATTCTATTCTTTCAGCTAACTATTAATTAATGTAATGTAAGTAATGTTTATATTCCTGGAAAGATAATTCATGTATATATACTTAATGTTTATATTTCCGGAAAGATAATTCATGTATATACACAATGTTTATATTTTCAGAAAGATAATTCATGTTAATATTAGTAATTTTTATATTTTCAGAAAGATAATTCATGTCAGCAATGTGTTCTACCAACCTGTTTATCTTTTATGACCAATCTAACAGCTGATGATGTCATACGTAAAAAACTCTCAACTAGGGCTCACCTCTGGGAGACCTGTCTTCAAATTTTAGTAAGTTAAACACCTTTTAAATATTTCAAATCTCTCAGTTAGTGCAGATGTCAATATGGCTTCCAAGGAAGTCACGTGTTCGGCGTAATTTACTCGCAAAGTGGCGTACGCTCTTAAAACAATCGCTACGTGTGCCCATTCATGATTAGCTTGTCTATCCTAGGGTTAAGATGTCAATATTAAGCTAACCCATTCAGTGTGCCAAGATAAGTCAGCTTTAGAATACATTAATATTAGCAAAGAATATTGAATATTTTCTATCCTCTTTTTTGGGGAAAAATGGCTTGTGTCTACAGAACCCATTTTTAGATTCTTGCTTCTATTTTTAATGTTTACTTTTAAAAACTATATTTCTATGTATTAATTTTCAAGGAGACCCACAAAACCAACCTAACAGATGAAATATGTGTGGAGATTTTATCAGCTTGTGTTGGACTGTTGTGTAATTTATCTAAAGGTGATTCTAGTGAACTTGTCAAATTCTCCCAACCTATCTGTCACCATTGTTTAACTTACGTACAATCAGAAGAACTCAACTCCACTCTACGAGTTTACTCTTTAAAACTGCTGAGTCATATTTTACCCAAGTCACCCGATGCTGTTAATTGGTTGTGTGATCATGATGCACCATCGTTATTTATGAAGTTTATCAAGGTAAATTATTTATTTGCATCTACTTTGGATTTAGTTTAATGCCATACAAAAAAAAAAGAATCAAGTTCTTTGAAAATCCTTCTAAAAACTCTGATGCTGGAGGGAAGTCTTTATTTTTTGTGTTTAAGGATCATGTTAAACTGTACTGTTATTGTATGTTAAACTGTACTGTTATTGTATGCTAAACTGTACTGTTATTGTATGCTAAAGTGTACTGTTATTGTATGCTAAACTGTACTGTTACTGTACTCTAAACGGTACTGTTACTGTACTCAAAACTGTACTGTTACTTACGCTAAACTGTACTGTTAATGTATGCTAAACTGTACTGTTAATGTATGCTAAAGTGTACTGTTATTGTATGCTAAACTGTACTGTTACTGTACTCTAAACGGTACTGTTACTGTACTCAAAACTGTACTGTTACTTACGCTAAACTGTACTGTTAATGTATGCTAAACTGTACTGTTAATGTATGCTAAACTGCCTTGTTACGGTGTGCTAAACTGCCCTGTTACTGTGCACTAAACTGCCTTGTTACTGTATGCTAAACTGCCTTGTTACAGTGTGCTAAACTGCCCTGTTACAATGTGCTACTGTGCGCTAAACTGTACTGTTACTGTGCACTTAACTGTTACTGTACCCTAAACTGTACTGTTATTATTTTTAGGGTAATGATATGATAAAGTTAAAAACATCCTGTTATATTTTTAGGGTAATGATATGATAAAGTTAAAAACATCCTGTTATATTTTTAGGGTAATGATAATGATATGATAAAAACAAGTATAAAATGTTTAACTGCATGTACACAGATTAATGTTAAAGCTCAACAATATGTGGTTCTACAAAAAGGTAAAGTTTAATTTTAATCATAGATCTCTTATCATGATGGCTAGGCTGTATTTCTTACACTCCATCTTTGTTTGATTTCCCAATTAGTTTTCTTATGTTCCATATTATGTAAATGTGTCATGTTTCTACTTGTGTACTGTAAACAGCCAATAAAAACTCAGTTGTTACCAATTACACAAAGACATCATGAACTGATCTGTTTATAAACTAACTAATGTTTTGGGCATAACTTAGTTGATGTTAGCTATTTTAAATATATGTTTGTCTTCTAAAAGAATAAATCAGAACAATAAAAACAATATAAAGATATCATTTGATTTGAAATCACACAAACTCTTTGATTTGGATCCAATTTGTTATTGTATCAATTACCTCTGTGAAACAGATTAGTCCAGAGATTGTTCCAAAACTAAATGAAATGAGACACCAGATGAAACCAATTCAGTATTTTATTATTATTATACCAAATTCAGAGAGGATTATCTCCTTAAAGATTTTATTGTATCAATAACAACAAGTGAACCAATGTTGAAAAATTGCTTCCATTAAATTGAGTAACAAAGCAATTTAATTTTATCTATATTTATTATTTTGAAGGTTTAGGATATTTGGTGAAACTGTTGAATCATGAGGATGAACTGGTGAAAGGAAACACAGCTTTATGTTTATGTCATTGTCTACAAGTTGATAAAGCTGGTGCTGCCTTGGCAAAAACAGATATTGTTAAAGATCTGTTGGTATTAGCTCGTGATGGTAATAATTCAGATGTGAGACAAAACTGTGCAATATTACTGGGAAAATTAGCTCAAAGTGATCAAAGGTAGGATATGATTTTATTCAGGCCCTGTTGATTTTTTGTAGGTTTCGATCAGAAACTGGCATTCCACAGCTATGACTTTTTATGAGGTTTCCTGTCCTAATTGAGTGATTTTCAAGAAATAGTCCTAGGATTTTGGGGAAAGTATTAGTGCTTCCTGATTTGTCGGAATTTAAACTCCAGTAACATTCCTCAGCCAGTCAGACAGCAGAAACTCTTTGGCTTAAATGTACATTTATGATAGGTAATTAAGTCAATGAAATAACAAAAATTGTATTAAAATAGTTAGAAGATTCCATTAGAGAGATCTGTATATATATTTTATTATAGACATTTAGAGAGATTACGAGAGTTACATGGTATTGAGATATTAAATGACTGTATGAAGTTTATCAAGTAAAGATTGAACAAACCACATTCCAATGGCAGCTACGGAATTACTAAGTTAAAGATATATTGATCAATATAAGATTCAGTGGAGACAAGACAGACTCTTTACAAAAGGAATTTATTTTATTGAACTGTAATGGTATTTTTATGGGTATTCTCGATACATTTTTCTTGGGCTTGTCTGGATAATTGTTTATAAATTTAGTACTACACAGGCAATCTTTTCATTTAACAATCTGATCAGAGCAACATCTTCACATATACATCTGATAAAGGTATTCTTAAGGGATACTTGACCGATTGTACGTGAGTTGAATTATCTCATTCCCCGGAAAGATGTCAATCAGGTTTTATGTAGGACTAGAAAGAGAAGTTGTCTCTGTATTTTTGTCCATTTTTTATTGGGATACATGTCTGTTTAATTATATTTATCGATACTTGTCTTCAATATAATTTAAAGTGACTTAATATTTGTTTCATTTACGTTAAAACCAAGTTTCTGTTTTATTTCATGTGCTGTGTTATTTTAATTCTAACTATAGAATATAACAAGTCTCCTTGTCATTAAACTTCCATGTCATCAAGTCGGAGAAATTCATATTGTTATTATGCATCATTTTATTTATTTTTTTATCATAACTCTTTATCACATTGAACTATGTAAATATTGATGACTCTAGTTCCCTGAAAATATTACAGATATATGGTCTTTTTATATTGAGTTTTGTGGCTAACATTTTAAATACCAAAAACAACTACGGTCCTAACCACTTTAAACAACCAAAACAACTGTGGCCCTGACTGCTTCAAACAGCAAAACTACTGTGGCCTTGACCACTTCAAACAGCAGAACTAGTGTGTATTTAAATAGTTCACAGCTATGGACTTGAATCAGGTGGTTTTAGAAGGAGCTTCAATTTCTATCACTTTCTGGCAGTCCAAGGGTTAGATACTGTATAGAGATTTAAGAATAATTTAACCCATGGTTTGAATCATATTGATACAATATAATAATGATAATAATATCGTAATTTATAAAGCGTGTTAATACATATCAGGCTTCATTAATTTAACCCATGGTTTCTATCATATTGATACAATATCTTGTCACTTTAAGCTTTATTAATTTATTAAAAGAATTGTTGATAATATTAATCTCATTAAAGTATTACTGAAATAATTCTTTGAGGGTTGTTTGTGATGTGGGGGGTTGGATGGCTGAATGGCTAGCGTGCGCGCGCTGTATCATAAAGTCTGTCATTGAGTCGACTCGCGTGGTTTCGAATCCCCGGTTGTACGTGGCAAGGAGTAGGGTTGCCTGTCCAACCTCGTGGGTTTTCTCCGGGTCCTCCGGTTTCCTCCCACTGCTAAAGACCCCTACGCGCAAGCGAATTATGTAAATAAAATTAGACCATATGTTAGTCCCGAAATGACCTAGTTTGTGTCGAGTGGACGTTAAACCCCATTTCTCTCTCTCTCTCTGTTTGTGATGTAAAATGGTATAAACAATATTTCAATATTTTTTTAGAATACTTAATGCTTCAAACCATAATGAGGTGGATGGTCAAGTGGTCTAATGTGTGCATTTTAGATCATTAGGGTCTGTCATCGATTCCAATCTTGTTCTATTTTGTACAGTCGTTGGTTCTCTCTGGGTCCTACAGTTTCTTCCCACTGCTAAAAACCCCTCCATGCATGCATATCATTGAAATAAAATTGAACCATATGTTAGTCCCAAAATGACCTAGTTAGTTAAACCCCATCTCTCTCTACCCCCCCCCCCCCCCCCCAGCGTATTAGACCCCCAACCCCCCTTATTTTTTTACCAATTATGATATATTATTCTAGAATAGGATTGTCATATAAATAATTGTAAGCAAATTGGATGTTTTCCCAGTTGGCCATGATAGTAACCTAGCCATGGGAGAATGTGTTCTACTGGAAGGAATAACAGTGGCTCGGTGAGTAGGACATTGGCTCGCTATCCTGGAGGTCCCGTGTTCAATCCCCAAGAAAGTTCATCAGGATCTTCCGGAGTGGTTCCCCCTTGACAGTGGTGTAGGGCTGAAGGACTGGCAAGGGACAACGTATAGTTGTTCGGATGGGATGAAAAACACACTGGCATGTACGTAAAAGAACTCTTGACAGTTGAAATTCGATATAAGAGTAGGCCGTAGTGCCACTGTCTGGGCAAGATTTCCCTCATAACACACTGTATGGCGTATGCTGGTCTTCATTAGCCCAGTGAGAACAGAACAGTAGGACGTTAAACCCATTTCATTTCGTCCTACTGGAAAATTGACATCTGTAGAAATATCAGGGAAAGTTGGGAAAGCCATCTTTATATTTTGGTGACAGGGGGAATCATTGTTTACAGACTAGAAGAATCTAGACTAGTTTGTCCCCCATCGTAGGCTATTCTTTTGTTACAATAACAAGCAAGAAATTTCCAAATCAACTTTTTATTAAAACAAAATCAAAATAAAAGCTAACAAAAGATACGACTTTTTCTAGCTCTATTATCACTACTTTCAATACATCAAAAACATCTGAATGATATGACTATACGTTTAACACAAGTTACAATTTTATGGATACTTAATTATGGGATTTATTACTAAGCAATGTTTGGACAAGGATAAACTCATCATTTGTTTGATAAAGACGCGAGTATCCTCTTTGTAAGGTGGAATAGTATTAAACTCAGTAATTGTGTATCCATAACATTGTATCTTGTGTTAATATGTTCAATTAGTAAATGCTTATCAAAGAAGGGGCAGTTGGATGGTCGAATGGTTAGCGCATATGCGCTGTATCATAAGGTCTGTTGTTGAGTCAACTGGCGTGGTTTCGATTCCTCGGTTGTACGTGACAAGGAGTAGGGTTGTCTGTCCAACCTCATGGGTTTCTGTCCGGGTTCTCCAGTTTCCTCCCACTGCTGAAGATGTCTATGCGCAAACAAATTATTGAAATAAAAATGTACCATATGTTAGTCCCAAAATGACCTAGTTTATGTCGAGTGGACATTAAACCCCATTTCTCTCTCTCTCTCTCCCTATCAAAGAAGACCATACTTTAGTCGTTCTAGATCTATTACTACTTTTTGTTAAGAACAAATATGGTTTGTTACATATACCCTGGCTATAAAACATTATGAAATAATTAAATATATTGCACTTGTCATGATAATTATAGTAAACATGTATATATATATATATATGAAACAATAAATATACACCATCCATATAATATTGCATTTTCTTTTAAATTAATTAAAGGCGATGGTCCATCTTATTTTTATATTCTAAGGATAGATAGACTCAGAGTCAGAAGATTATGACAGCTATGAGAATCAGCTTTTAAAAACTTTGTTTAAATCAGGGTGACTTAGTAAGTAATATGTCCGATCCCGGTGTTTGCCGAGAAAGTTAATAAGAATTTTCCGGCGTGGTTCCCCCCTTGTCAGCGGTGCAGGACAGGGGGTCTGACAAGGGACGAAGAACTGAGGTCCTGTGTACACATTGTTGTGCATGTAAAAGATCCCTTGGCAGTTGGAATTTGATATAAGTGTAGGCCATGGGGGTCTTAAGCAATGGGAGAACTGGAGCTTGGACGTATCACTTGACTCAATGACAGACCTTATGATCTAAAGTCTAAAGTGAATGTCTTTGACCATTCGGCCACCCAGTCCCCCATAATTACGGGTAACTCTTGCTTGGAGGCATCGTCACTTGTTCGAGAAGCTGATACTACATATTGTCACTGTTATCTATCTTTTCTGCAGGAAAAGTAGAATATTAACCTACATTTTATCCATTCATTATCTAACTTAGCAGAACAGTAGGAGGTTAAACCCCATTTCATTATCTATCTTTTAGTTAGAATACAGAAAGAGAAGGACCATTTCCTATAACACAGTAATAATAAGGCATGTGATATGAACATGAGGAGGGTGTTCAGATGGACAGCATGAAGAGAGCAAGGCCATATAAAATAATACCACTGCATCATATAAATTTACTTCGCATGTTCTTTCATCATAAATTTTCGTCCTTTCCTTCTTTACATAAATTCAAAAAATATTTTAAGGAACACCAAACATAAATGCATAATCAATTTAGGAAAATATCTATACCAAAGTATGAAATTACGTAATCAATTATAGAACACCCAAAAATGAAACTAAACACCTATTGGGAACCTATTTGTATACCTTTGTATTATATTATCCTGACTTACAGATTTATTTGTAAATCATATTTTAGGTGACGTAACCGTTCAACGACCTTAACCTTTGACATTGCCTCACTTTAAACTCCTGCCTTTTTAATTATGCTAACGCCATGCGCCTGTGTTTTTTCATTTGTGCTATGTAAAAATCCCTCCCACCCTCCCGGTAGTATTACTGTGGGTAGGGGCTTGTTTTTTAACTGCTACTTCCGAACCTGCTGAGGGAGTTTTATTTTGTAAATAATTGTTTGACATTGTATTACTTTGTTGTAATTTGTTTTGATTTAAAATGATTAAAATGTTTGCCATCCCACTGCTGCTTTTTATTATTGGTGAAGTCAAGTAAAATGTATATATATATTGAAACTACTTTATATATATATATATATATATTTTATCTTTTAATTATTATAATTATGCCTTTTACATTCCTTATCTGTTGTGCAATAATCACCATATATATTCTATGTTGGCTATAGCAAGTGATTTGTCTTGTAATAAAGTAAAAGTAAAGTAAATATGACCACGTATTGCATACAGTAAAGGCAAGTAATTAGCTAGATACAAGGCCGCCAAGAGAAGTTTTATATGCTAGAGCAAGACAAATGGGCTCGGGGGCTTTGTGTCACACATCGGCCATGCCGACGTAAAAAATATTAAATAGATATTTATAGGCCTCCTGGGACTTCATGGGCCCGGAGCGATGTACGTGCTACACCCTCTCCTTGAGCCTGGTTATACAATCGGCTAAATATAACAGTAACATAAGTGTATGATTTTCGCTTGAGAACATCACCGGAATGATCCCACTTCTTCTTTATTTTTTAACAAAGCAGTGAGACAATTTTTTTAAATTGCTGATGGTCATTTGAGGGATTTTGGTTGTGGAAGTTGAATCTCCAAAAGTAATATCAGACCAAAAATGATGCAATTCCCTTCAGTATTTATCTGTTGTTGGGACTCTGGAGATTTTCTTCCATTGATATTTTGCTTTAGTTTTCTTAATTAAATTATAAATAATTAATTTAAGAACATTTTAGCATCAAGTAAGCCATGAAATATTAGATAATAATTGTCCAAAAAATGGAAATTAAGATCAGTGGCTTTAAAATTTAAGTCATGGGGGATGGGGGGGGGGGGGATGGCCGAACGCGTTGAATCATAAGGTCTGTCATTGAGTCAATTGGCATGGTTTCGATTCCCCGGTTGTATGTGTGAACAGAATTATTAAAATAAAATTGAACCATATGTTAGTCCTGAAATGACCTAGTTTGTGTTAAGTGGATGTTAAATCCCATTTCTTTCTCTCTCTCTTTAAGTCATGGAAATAGAATTCTCAGTATTATGTTTTAAGTCAATGTCATTACTGATGAGGTTACAGTGTTCTGGTCAGACCGGCTGCTGTGTCTAGTAGATTGTATAATACCAGAAGACCATTTATCAAACAGCTTCATCAGCTATATGTAGCTATAGCCTTTATATAACAGTAGGATGAATATTGATTCTGTAAGACCAGTTGAATTGTTAATTGGATAAGCAACTAGTATGGAGAGAAAATGTGGAAACAAGTCAATTTTTCTTTCAGCACATGAGTCTGGGGTCTTATCCATGAAATATTTAAAAAATACCTTTTTCACTGACTAAAAGCTCAAATTTGTTTTACAATTTTAACCCTTAACCAATGAAAGGGGTCACTCACATCCGTAAAATATGGGAGGATGGATGGCCGAATGGTTAGCGCATGCACGTTGTATCATGAGGTCTGTCATTGAGTTAACTGGCGTGGTTTCGATTCCCTGGTTGTACATGACAAGGAGTTTGGTCGCCTGTCCAACCTAATGGGTTTTCTCTGGGTCCTCCGGTTTCCTCCCACTGCTAAAGACCCCTACGCGCAAGTGAATTATTGAAATAAAATTGAACCATATGTTGAAAGGGAAATGACCTAGTTTGTAAACCCCACATCGCTCTCTCTCTCTCTAAAATATTGTAGTTTTGATGAATAATACTGTGGTCTATAATAAATATTAAAAGTTATAAGTTTAAAATATAGATGAAGTCCCTGGCTGTGATTGTATGATTCTAATATTGAGCAATGTTTATATATATACCAGTGTGAGTTTATATGTTTTGATCAATCAACAAGCAAGAATTGGCTGACAAGAATACAGGCAATGAGCATCAAATATTAAAATATGATAATAAACCCCTGATGATTCCAAATTAGACTATGTTACATTTTATGATAAACACGAAAATGTCCAGTAGTATCATTCCGTTAGAGCTGAACGATGCCATTGGGGATACCGAGGATGGAAAATGTCACATTATGTTTTAAATCTGTAATTTGAAATGTTTTAAATCTGTAATTTGAAATGTTTTAAATCTGTAATTTGAAATGTTTTAAATCTGTAATTTGAAATGTTTTAAATCTGTAATTTGAAATCTGTAATTTGAAATGTTTTAAATCTGTAATTTGAAATGTTTTAAATCTGTAATTTGAAATGTTTTAAATCTGTAATTTGAAATGTTTTAAATCTGTAATTTGAAATGTTTTAAATCTGTAATTTGAAATTTTTTAAATCTGTAATTTGATATGTTTAAATCTGTAATTTAAAATGTTTTAAATCTGTAATTTGAAATTTTTAAATCTGTAACTTGAAATGTTTTAAATCTGTAACTTGAAATGTTTTAAATCTGTAATTTGAAATGTTTTAAATCTGTAATTTGAAATGTTTTAAATCTGTAATTTAAAATGTTTTAAATCTGTAATTTAAATTGTGTCTTTTAAATTGGGTTGGCCCCTGAATATAAACAGAAGGAGAGTTTGGAAACAATTCAAAAATGTGGACAACCCTGATATAAAATTTTTTAATTGAGAATAAGACTTCATCATAATTTTATAATGACACAATCACTTCTTATAGATGAGTCTATTGACATATAAAATGGAGAATATTTTGAAAGCCATTAAGAACCAGCTTTAATCTGAAGTTCAATATATAAATCAAATACCAACTGTTTATATGTTAAAACCAAGTTTGGTAATAAGACACCTGTCACAGACATTGTCAGGTACAAACTCTCTGACACAATTCTTCTTGTGCATGTCATTTTGTCCAGTACAAATTTGTCTAGGTTCTGTGGTTTTTTTTTATATACTCAGTAAATTTCTGGCACAAAATTAAAAATAACTTATTATGTAGTGCCTGACATTTTGTCAAGTACAAGGTTAAATCATGATTTCCAGGTCTGTTTAAAGATGCATTATGTAAGATTTAGATAAAGAACTGGCCGATCTTGCTATAATAGATGAAAAATAGATAATGAAACATCAATATGTTGAAAATTTCATTCAAATTACTTAATTCTGAGCGAAGTTAGTGGTGTTTGCAGTTGTAGCATAGATTGTTTATTATCATAGCACCGGCACTTGACAATCAAGACTAAGCCCTAAATTTTCCATTTTTGAATTAAATCATTAAATGGCGATCATGTTTCAATCCTTTTAAATCTTGACCATCCGTTGATCTAGAGAGTTGATTATAGGCTTCTCATGTGAATACACGTCTAAATAATAGTTTATATAACATTTAAAGTCAAAATAAAGTCCTGCAATAGGCAGTTTTAGCTCTTGAATAATATGTTTTTAAAATGTGTGTATAAAGTGCATATATAATTATAGAGGCATTAGATTAATAAGTCTATATGGTACATATAAATACACAGTACAATCCCAAAATAAATAGATGACACTCATTAACTACTTGCTCATTTATCTTTTTACAAAGCATCTACCAAATAAATTGTTTAGTACTCTGTTTAATGTTCGGAGGTCTAATGGTCAAATGCATGTGCTTTAGATCATAAGGTCCGTCAGTGAGTCAAGTGGGGTGGTTTGATCCCACACTTGTACATGACAAGGAGTATGGTCGCTTGTCCAACCCTGTGGGTTTTCTTCGGGGCCTCCGGTTTCCTCTCACTGCCAACGACCCATACGTGCAAGCGATTTAATGAAATAAAATTGAATGATAGATTAGTTCTGAAATCACCTAGTTTGTGTCGAATGGACATTAAACCCCATTAGAAAAGTTATTGTGTTCCCAAAAGTTTTGCAGACAAACAGCTGCTTAGCCTAAGCAGCAGACGCTCATTACCAAACTCGGTCAAGACATCTAATAGAATCAAGAGTCATTGAGTTCCGAGAGCTGTGACGTAAGTGAAATGGGGTTCAACGTCCTACTGTTCTGCACCGAGCTAATGGGGTTCAACGTCCTATTGTTCTGCACCGACTGGGCTAATGAAGATGACAGCTTGTAGAGAAAGACAAACAGACAGACAGAGGGATGAACCAATTTTATAGTCCCTTTAATTGCACTCTCGAAAGACGTTGGAGTGTGGACATTGGTAATACTATCATCAGTTTCAAAAAGATACAATTTTAATTGTACCTTCTTGTAGTAATATATAAAGTTTACCATGATCATCAACAGCAACGCTTTTTGGTTGATCAACACCTGTAATAATTTGTCTCTCAAACTCTCCCATGGGGGATAACTCTACTACACTATTTCCTTCTAAATCAGCCACGTAGATTCTACCGTATGGATCACAGTCGAAACCGAGTGGGTGATCAATCCTGTGATTCACATCCTGGTACTTCCAAATGACAGACGTCAAATCTGGGGACATGCAAAGTACGGTCTCTTTACTCCAGTCAGTTACCAATATATCACCAGATGGTGCTTTCTTTATATAGGTCAAGGATGCTGCTAATAGAGAGCGACCCATGTTGTCTTCTTCCACCGACACAAGAATTTCTCCATCGCTATTCAAAATGTCCAAAGCCACTGGGTTTGCCCAAGCTGTTCCGACCAATAACCTATGGCCTTCTAATCCCACAATTCCACAATATCGTTTCTTAGTTTTGATGGTTGAGCGTATTTCAAATTCTTGTGATCGGGCCTTAATTACAACGATTTTAGCCGATAACGGCATGGTTGCAGCAATGTGGTCATTTTCTAGTTCTGTTAATCGGTAAGCTTTACAGGAAAGTTTTAAAACAGAATTCGAATCCTCGCCTTGCTTGTTACAGAAAATTTTCAAACAATTATTATCGATATCTGTGACGATTACGGTTGTCGTGCCATTTATCGTCATTACGATGAGATCTTCTAACATCGGTGGCACAATATCATCATTTAGATGTGTTTCTATCGAAAATATGTTTTTAATTGATTTGCATGGCGGAGATTCACAATATAATGGTTCAGATTTTAGGGGCTGAATAGTCTCCCTTGATTCATAATAAGAAAGTCTACGAAAAGGGCTTGAGTATGGACTCCGAGAAGGACTACTGCATGATAAGGAATCTATGACACTAACCGGAATGGTATCAGACAAATCCTCACAAATAACGTCAATTTCGTTACAATGGTAGTGATATTTCTTCACGCACTTCGTACAAACGGAAAGTAGACACGTTGGACAGTAGTAATCATTGAATTCATCTCGGTGAATGGAACATGCACGACGATAATTCAACTTATTGCGAGATTTAGAGCTGTCAATAATGGGCATGAAGACGTGGTCCGTGTGTTGGCTGCGGTGTTGACCTTCACATTCATGACACAAGGACAGACGACATGTATCACACCAGATGGAATATTCTATTAAGGATTTTCTTGGTCGATATCTTCGTTTACACAAATGACATTCTGAAAAATACCAAATGTGGATAAATTGAAATAAAATGAAGTAGGGTTTAACATCCTACTCAAATTTTGCCCAGACAGTGTTGCTACAGCCTACTCTTATATCAAATTCAAACTGTCAAGGCATTTTTTGCATGCACACAAACATCTGCCCTTGACTTAAGTTTATCACCCCATTCGAATGCCTAGACCCAATTCTTTCCAGGCCCTCAATCCTGCACTATTGACAAGGGGAAACAACACTGGAAAATACAAAATATGGATAAATTAAAATACATCAAGGGTTAAAATAAGTGCAAAGCTTTACCTATACTATAATCCGTTTGGTCACGATGTTTTGGTCACAACGTTTTGGTAACGATGTTTTGCAGTGTCACATGTATTGAATGATAGATTGATTGGTAGACTGATCTGGAATCGACCAATCAATATTTATGTATAAAGAAGTGTCTACAGATGTGAGTCGGACGGATGTATATAACCAAAAACTAATTTCCCACGTTTTCCACTGACAATTGGAAATCAAAATAGAAGTGTATAATCAAAGTAGAATTTAACGTCCACTCGTCACCAACTAGGTCAATTCTGGACTAACATGGTTCAATTTTATTGCAATAATTCGCTTGCGCATATGAGTCTTTAGCAGTGGAAGGAAACCGAAAGACCCGGATAAAACCTACGAGGTTGGACAGGTGACCCTACTCCTTGCCATGTTCAAGGGGAAATCAAAACCACGTCACTTGACTCAATGACAGACGTAGTGATTTCACATGCACGTGTTAAACCGCTAGACCAACCAACCCCTTGATGGCTGGATAATGATTGGTTGATCTTGAAACTTACCTTTAGAGACTCCGTGCTGTGCTTCTTTAATTATGCTATCGATGTCAACAGAGGGGAACAGCTGGGCCCAGTACATCTGATGTCTTGTATGATCCGGTGCTGGCACGATCTCTCGACATAGGGGACATGGGAAACAACTCCGCTCAAAGGCATCAAGGCGAGACTGGATATATTGGTTAAGGCAAGCACAGCAGAAATAATGCTGACATGGCAAGATCTTTGGTTGAGTGTAAAATTTTTTACAAATAAAACAAACATGTTGACTGTAGACCGGAGTTACCTCCTCTTCTATTTCCATCATTTTTAGAATAATCAGAGGTCAAAGTTGAAGAATCAATATATTAGCTATCAATAATTCATAACATAAAATAGCTGATAGTATTATAATACTTGTATCGATAATCCACACACAGTTTTAAAAGTCTCTAATATCTGTGAGTAGGTTTTTTTAGTCTCTAATATCTGTGAGTAGGTTTAAGAGGCCGAAAATATCTGAAATGAAAAGAAAGAATGTAAGAATTTCATATTGTTCTGTATAGTGAGAGAGAGAGAGAGAGAGAGAGAGAGAGAAATGGGGTTTAACATCCACTGGACACAAACTAGGTCATTTTGGGACCAACATGGTTCAGTTTTATTTCAATAATTCTCTTGCGCGTAGGGGTCTTTACCAGTGGGAGGAAACCAAAGGGCCTGGAGAAAACCCACAAGGTTGGACAGGCAACCCTACTCCTTGTCACATACAACTGGGAATCAAAACCATGCCAGTTGACTCAATAACAGTCCTTATGATACAGTATGCTCGCACTAACCATTCGGCCATTCAACCTCCCTTGGTTCAAAAATTTAGATGTGTAGGATAAAGCACAAGATTGAGGCTATGCTGGCGAAAGAAAGACTGAAGAAAATAACCCAAGAGAAAGAAAAACCAAGGTCGGCAGGCCCAGGTTTTTCTGTCGAGGGTTTTTTCTGAAGTCTTTCTTCCCCAGCATAACCAAAGTCGAGGACTTTATCTTGCTTATAAACCGTCTATGTTTACATGTACGCAAGATGAGAATATCCCAGAATTCCCACAAGGAAAACCTTATATCATGTTTTCTTATGGGGAAAAAAACCTACCCTGCAAGAATAACCCGTTACAGGTTTAAAGAAAAACTTTCAGAAGAATAACCCCAAATTTCCCTGTATATATCCAAAACCTCCCCCGACTTTCAGATCGCAAGTTATTCCAGGCATAGAATATACCCCAAAGATCAAAGAGATTTACCGTTACAGGTTTATAAGAACAGATAAAGATCTGAAATGAAAAAGAAAAAACTGAAATGGGGTTTAACGTCTTGCTGTTCTGCTCTGACTGGGCTAATGTAGATGAGCATATGCCATACAGTGTGCTATGAGGGAAATCTGTGCCCGAACAGAGGCGCTACAGCATACTCTTCTATCAAATTCCAACTGCCAAGGGATCTTTTACGTGTATGCCAATGTGTACATTTTTGTCACATCCGAAAAAGAAAAAAGTAGGTCCCTATTTCATTCTGTACTAGTGCTCTCATTTCAATAACAGTCTTGACTGACTAGCATGAACAGTGTCTAGCTGTTTGGATGGGATAAAAAAACAAAGTCCTAAACATTGGCATGCACATTAAAGGACACATTATATGGCCTATGCCAGTCACCATTAGCCCAGTTGGTGCAGAAAAGGAGATCATTAGCCCTATTTCATTCTTTTTCATGTAATTCTTCCTGTAGATGGTGGAATTGATGAACAAATCTACAACCTAATGAATCGAAAATTTTTAACAAAACTATGAATCAATTTTTTTAAAAAATAAAATAATAAAAGACTTGTTCTAACTGGTTGAAATTCTAACTTCTGCATAGAAAAGGTAAAACATCATGTGACATTAGTGATAAATGTCATATATTTCATAATAAAACTGTTTTCCAGCGTGAAAATTGCACGACATGCATGAAAGGCTGTTAACCTGTCTATCAATGTAGGCTATATTACATGTAGGTTATGAGGTGAACTTGATAAACCATTTTCTAACACAAATGACTATTAAATCAATATATCTAGCAGGTTCTACGTGTTTTACAATACACTTAATGTATAGACCTATAAGACAGCCTTACCATACTATTACTGCCATTTCTATAGTCCAATTTTACACTTATGGCTGGCTGCACATTCTTCTGTCTTGCAGAGAGCATAAGTATTACTGTATTTTGTAAGTTACATAAAATCCATCAATTCTATTACATTAATAAAATACCTAGACATTTAGTCTCCATCATACTCCAACATCCAAGCTAGCATTTTCTTCCAAAAAATCAATTTTCTGGAAGGGAGACAACTCCATTAATAATCAATATTTTGTGATAGCCCGGGAATGTTATGTTTGATTAATAAAAGTTAATTGTCACTAAAAATCTGTCTATGTAAATGATATCAAAGTTGTAGGCCTACCTGATAAATAGGCCTATATACTATCCTAACTATGCCTACACTGGACTTAAATAGAAATTAGGTTATAATTTGTACAAACTTGAATAAAAGGACATAAATGTGGTGGAAAAAAAAAAAAAAAAAAAAATGATCCATGAGCAAATTAATTAATCGTTGAATTTGAAATTTAAAAGATTACGATGATTAACAACAAAATTTAATTTTATTAATTATAGTAGGCTTAGCCTATGTAGGCCTAGAGTGGTTTGGGAGATAGAGGGCCATAAATCAATATAATGCTAATGATCTATCAACATGTATTTTAAAAAATATGTCATTGTGCATTGTAAACTTATAATTAATCAGGTGCATAGGAATATAATTTGATTGATGACCAAGGTCGCTAGTCTATTTTAGTATTTACATTCATCGCATTGCCATTGAATTTTGAAAAGAGGTTTCACATTTCTAATGACATGCTTATCTGAGTATAACCATATAAATAAAATTCAAGGGCTTAGCGACCTTAATCCTTCACGTTTATATAATGTAAAATGTCTATTCATATCTAGGTGATCTATGATTTACTGTTTTATTTAGCAACTTCAAGTCAAATATAATTAATGAATAAGTCAACAGCAAGTGGAAAGATAAGATCATTTGACCTTTCGGTCATTGTCATGACGACGTAAACAATCTAGAGCATTGTGGGATTAATGGCGTCGCAAACAGTCTTGGTAGGTAAACTTTATAGGCCTAATAAATTTCTTATTAAATTAACACATTTTTTACGTCTGTATAATATATTATTACACTTATCATTACACGGAAAGAGACCCTGTTTCTCTTGCTCATCTTTCAGTTAGCGACCATTACATTCTGCTTACATAAACTCGTTTTTAAATTGCATGCCGAGCCAAGATCGATGCAGATGCTATTTTATTTTATTATCACCGATTTATTAAGTTATCTAGCTATTATATAGTATATTATATTATAGTTATTTACACATCAGTTTATGTACGATACATTACAGTCACACGGAATATTTTAAATGTCATATGGGCTGGCTGGGTACACCATGAAAAGTTAGAAACAGACAATCTATATAACTTCAATCTCAGCCCGTAATTTTGACGAGAAATGTCATGGGCATGATGGGGCAAGCGGAGGGGCATACACTAGAAAGCATACACCAGCAATTACACCTTTCATTTTCTCAGCTCAGTTGGGGTAGCACGATTTACCCAAATCACCCAAATCCACCATAATCCACAATTATTTAAAGATACATTATGGGAGATTTGATAATCGAACTGGCCGCAATTCCCACTATAATACTAATAGTTAAAAACTAGATAATAGTAATGTAAAGGCAATTTGCTGAAAATTCCAGTCAGATTGATCCAGTCTGAACCGAGATTTTAGCGATTGAATTTTCGGCCTAGCCTCGATCATCATTACTAAAGTCGGTACGATAAAAAACATAGTCTCGATTATCCATTTCATTATTAAATTTTGAATGGATAGTCGAACAGCAAATTGGAACCTTGTCCAATAAACATCGCAGGCTAGCGATGCCATCGAGAGTTGATTATGGTCTGGATAAGTTAATTAATGTCTAATTAATAATTTAGATAACATTTCAGGCCTAAAGAAAGAGTTGATTATGGCCTGGATAAGTTAATTAATGTCTAAGTAATATTAATAATCTAGATAACATTTCAGGCCTAAAGAAAGACCTGCAATAGGCAGATTTAGCTCTTGCATAATGTATGTTTAACGTTAAATTGCGCCATTAATTCAGGGGCAAATTAATTAGGTAGGCCCTAAGCTAAGCTTCTTTTTCAGAATGGCCCTTATAAATTTGACACGAGTCATACTTATTAGTAATTTCAAAACGCTTAAAATGTTATAATGACTGTTTTGAACTCGATTGATAGACTTTGTTTTTTGATACATTTCTATATAAACCGTTTTCTTTAGTGTGCTAACTTTGAGTAGTCCAGTAAAATCCCGGGCATCAAGATTTGATAGTCCAAATAGTATAGGAACAAGATCTGATTTTGATAGTCCAAATAGATTAGAATAATACAACAGTTCAATATTTCATTATTTGAGAAATTTTTACTTTTTTTTTTTGTGGATTGTCTCACTTGATGTGAGATTTTTACTGGTAACTAGCTTAGTCAATTAAATTGATTTAATTTTTTCTTTTCTTTATTGCAGAATAAAATTTTGAGGATGGCTAGATTATTTATTTTGAGATGAGTCAACAGCAACCAAATTTTCAAACTCATGGTAGAATAGTTACGCAAAATTCGGATCTTCTGAGACTGCTCAGAGATAAAACCGAGGAGGCTTTACGCCATAATAAATCAAATGTTGGTAGTGTAGCTGATCTTTCAAACAACAGCATTCAATATGATGGAAAACAGAATGGTAGAACATCAGTTCCAATAATTCATTCACAGACGGCACCCAAAACATCAAAGGGAGGTAATAACATCCAGTCGAACAATGTAGATGTTAGAGGTAGTGGAGTATTTACGGTCGTCAATCCAGTCCTTCTCCGAGCTGTAGGAATCAAACCCACGGCTCAACAGGAAACTGATTTCGAACATTACGCTCCAAAGCCCCTTCAAGTGATTGATCCATCATTTCTCCCTGGATCACAAGGTCAGAATCGTAAACAAGCGTTTGATGTCAATAACAACTCGGCCAAAGAAATAGCTTACAATAATTACCTAACAGATGACCCTCTCCCACAAAACCCATCAGTAAATTCAAATTTGGAAAGTAATAATTCATCTCAAAATGGATACTATGTTGGAACATCACACAGCAGCCTTCAAGTAGGAGAGACGCCAAACCTGCAAGTGAGCACTCATAGCATTTTTAATTCAGATGAAATAGAAAAACCTAGAGGTCATAATATACAGTACAATGTGACACCACTTCAGTATAATAGTCAAAATAGTAGCCCAGTGAAAGACAAAAGTTTGAAAGTAAATAGTGAAATTAGTAGTCCAGTAAAATCCAGGGCATCAAGATTTGAAAGTCCAAATAGTAGCCCAGTAAAATCTAGAGGAACAAGGTCTGATAGTCCAAATAGTAGTCCAGTAAAATCCAGAGGATTAATATCGGATATTCCAAATTGTAGTCCAGTAAAATCTAGGGGATTAATATTGGATAGTCCAAATAGTAGTCCAGTAAAATCAGAAACATCTAACACTTCTCTCATAAGTCAACCAGTTCAAAGCACTAGTCATATTGCTCCTCAAGTTGTTCAGCTGAACATGAGTGTGGGTGATCAACCTATAAACAGAGTCTACATCGAGTCGCCTACATTTACGAAGGCGGAGGAGGAAGAATATAGATTTGTTAGTAGTAGGTTGGATGAATTCGGTGAGAATCAGGAGACTTACAGAGAAATAGTAGAAAACACCATGCCGGAACCAGCACCTGCTAAACCCAAAGGTAATCGTCGCGTTCATTATGAGGATTCGCCTCCAGAACCAGAATCATCTCGTTATGAAGATGTTAATGAAACTGAAGCTTCTTCACGATCACTAACTAATGCCAGTCGTCAATATGTTTTATGTTCTTCAGAACCATCCAGATCATCACAAAATCAGTCAGCAGATCTTGGACCAGCTCCTCGACAACTACCTGAGAAAGCTCCTGGGTTTGGACATCGACTTCCCACTGGTCCAAGTTATGATCCCAATGATGAGGATGAACTAGAGCAAGAAGCAAAATACCAGGTGAACCTGATTACCAGAATTGGGGAACATACTAAAAGGGTTTCTGATTTAAAGATTCCTAAACTTCCCCTTCCTGATAGTGATGATGAATTTGTCCAAGATTCTTTGGACTATGAAGGAGAAACTCCTCAGTATAATCCTAATTTCGTAAAAGATTCCTTGGAGCTATACAATGGAGGAGGTGGTGGTGCAGATGGTGAATGGGAAGCACCTCATCAGGCCTATCATCCAGCACAACATTATGTCCAAAGTCCAAACAAATTACTAGGTGGACAGCCGATCCACCAGCATGCACATCATCCTGGATATCAGGAAGAGGTCTATCACCAACAGGTATATCCTCAGCCGTATGCTAAACAGAGTTCTTCGAATCAGCAACAGTATGAGAATCAACCTGTACAGAATCAAAGACGTGTGGATTCTAAGCATCAGGGTCACTCTAATTATCAGGAGGAATATGATGACGGTCAAGGTCACCAAAGGTATGAAGATTATAATAATTATGGTGAGTATGGGCAGTCAGAGGAACCATACTATCAGCAACAACAACAACAACAGATTCAGTATCAACCCGTCCCTCATGGACAGCCAATACAGCAGCCAAGATATCCTGGTCCTTCTCCACAGTACAGTGATAGTTATTTAGCTCAAGGTGAACCATATCCGCAACAGGTACAACCAGTCCCACAACCCAGAAATTTTGTAAGACAAACTCGTCCTACTCAGCCACATATTACTTACTCACAGCAACAGGGACCTCAGCATGCTTCTTCAGGAAGTTCAGCGCAGAATAGGGATATCTACAGAGATGATCGAAAAGTTGGAGAATTTTTTGAAAGACATCCTCATGCAGAACCACCACCACAAAGACCAGAGAATTACCAGAGAACGAATCCAAACCAACAAGAACAATCTTCGTACCCCAATCCAGTTACTCAAGGTCCTCCACAAGGTCCTCCACAAGGTGGTCCTTACTTACAGCCACCACCGAGACTGGCATATACTCAACAAACTGCTTATTCACAACAAAGAGATCCATATGAGCAGTATGAAGATCAAAGTTATGACAACCAAAGTTATGGTGTTCCACCCTTTCCAGAACCCCAACATGATTATTATGTTGAGGACTATGCTGAAGGAGAAACTCCTTCTGATTCCCCACAAAAATCAGCTTCTGGAGAGTCAAGTACAGAGAAAGCACGGTTGGATTTCATTGAGAAAAATCGTAAAGATTATGGACGTGTTCCCAAAAAGAGCTACAAACAAATACAAGCCATAAAGAAAGAAGAAGGCGCAAAATTGGAAAATATTTTTATTTCTCCAAAAGTGAAGCCAAAAAAGAAGCAACCAAGTTCAGCACCGGTTTCAAATCAGAAATCTTCAGCTCATTACATGTCCTCCCCACAACTTAATCAAAAACCAGCAACAGCTGAAGAACTTTGGGCTCAAAAGGCCAGTCACTTGTCAACACAGAAAGATCCTAAAAAGAAAGCCAAATTGACAAAATATCCGAGTGATGGTGGCTTACCAGTGATTAATCAGAGACCTGAAAATGGTGTTTCTGCCAACAATAGTCGTCCCTTTATGAATCATCCATCAAGAAATCCTGCCAATTACCAGCAGCTTCAACAGCCGTTGACTCTTGAACCTATATCTCGGGAACTGATCACAGAAGATGGTCAGAGAATTAGTGTGGATGTGAACTTGAAGCTTTTGTCTCCGCAGAGTGGCTCTAATAATAATTGGTATTCGGAGCAAAATGCTTGGGAAGATTACAGCTCATTACCCTCCAGACAACGTGTTGGTGTGCCTTATGATATAAATTCTGGTATTCCTCAACAACCAGTACAACAAAAATCTTTAGACTACACTGATTATGAAGTAAGTGATCAAGTCCTAATATCATTTAAAGCCTGTAGAGCTCTAACTCAGTATTATCCACAGTCTTTGACATTAAAAACATGAATTATCAGTCCATTCCAATCAATAGTAATGAGAGGAAACCAAACCGGAAAATCCTGATAAACTTTCTAGGCCAATGCAATTATCGAACACTTGACTTCCAGGCTAGCGAGCCATTGTCTTAACCACTGTGTCTCCCTTCACAATTCCAATTTGTGAACTACCGTTAATTCATATTGCAGGAACCCCCTAGAAGAACATATTTTGTTTTCAAAATTACCATATTTCATTAAAACAACTATTGATTTATTTGCAGGATTATCCAGAAACAAGGGCATATCCATCTTCACGTAATTACGAATCTGCTCCAGAATATCTTGATTCTTCTCAACCAACAGATATCCAAGGAGGCAGACCAAGCACGAACCCATACCATGTTATTCCGCCTATTCAGAAAAGTAACGAGAACAGTCCGAGTATAGCTATCGACCCGGATGATAGTTACGTGGTTCAATATCGTAAACAGAAAGAAAAGAAGACGGAAGAACCATGGTATAAGATTTATAATTTAAAAGATTATCGTAAAATGCAGAAAGAAGTTCGACTGGGAAGCTTGGGTCCTGATTTAGACAGTTCTTCTCATAAAGAAAGGGTGAGTATTGGTAACTTGGCGTTCGAAAAGAAATGAAATGAAATGAAATGGGGTGTAAAATCATATGAAGACGACATACACCTTCAGTGTGCCTTGAGGGTAATTTTGCCCGGACACCAGCGCTACAGCCTACTCTTTTATTGAATTCCAACTGCCAGGGGTTCCTTTACGTGCACGCTAATGTGTACACGGGACCTCGGTTTTAATCATATATCAGAAAGACTCTTTGTTGTCCCTTGCCAGGCCCTACATCCTGCACCACTGACAATCTTAATGAACTTTCTCTGTCAAAACATGGATCAAACACGGAATTCCCCCCGGGTTAGTGAGCAACATCTGTAGTGTGGCTCCCTCCTTCGGACGAAAAAGAAACTTTGGCAAAATTCTGCTCTTCTTGTTGTACATATATTCGTACAAATTTAAAATTATCATGTCAGTCTCAAATGATCAAAATATTGTGTTGATTAGACTTCAAACTCCCATGTTCCTGAAGCAAAGTGATCTGCAATTCCCAAACTAATAGCTACGTTATCTCCCTTTAACTCAGTCACGTGAAAGATAGACAATCAGAGGTTGTGACACAAACACACTCAAATCAAACATTGCAACCTCCACGGAAACCTTGACATTTAACAAACCTTGAACTTTGCAACTTGTTTTGAGAAATCTGATAGGCTCCCGAAATATGCACGGTATTAAGTGAAGGGCTTGATCCACTCTGAACATAAAATTTAGTGATTGAATTTTAGGCCTAGCCTCAATCATCATTACTAAAGTCGGTACGATAAAACATAGTCTTGATTATCCATTTTTTGATTTAATCATCAATTAGCGTTGAGCAGCAGATCGAATTTCAATCCAGTAAATATCGCAGGCTGATGACAACGAGAGTTGATTATGGTCTGGATAGGTTAATTAATGTCTAATTAATAATTTAGATAACATTTCAGGCCAAAATAAAGACCTGCAATAGGTAGATTTAGCTCTTACATAATGTATGTTTAACATCCAGTACATGATGTTTAATGGTTTTTGTTTTATTATTTCAGATAGAAAAGTTTCAGAGACAGAGTGATTATGCTAGAATGGTGAATGAGAGAAATAAGAAACAGGCAGCATCATCAACAGTCAGTCGTCGTCCACCAAGTTATCCACGTAAAGAACAAGATGATATTATGAATAAACGTAGAATGGTACGTTAATTTGTGACTAGTTTTTGGAATGAGAAACTCAGTATTTTATTTATATATTTGTTTGTTGAAAACTATGCGTCATTGAGTATGGCACACGAACCAGGATGATCTGGGTTTCAAGAAATCATGTTAAAGAACCCTTAACAGTTAGAATTTAAAATACTATTTGGCCATAGTGCCACTGTCCGGGCAAAAATTTACTTCATAGCACACTGCATGGTGTATGCCCGTCTTCATTAGCCCAGTTGGAGGAGAACAGTAGGACGTTAAATCCCATTTCATTTCGTTTGATTATCATGCTCGTCTTTATTAGCCAATTTGGTGCAGAAAAGTAAGACATTAAACCCCCATTAAATATCTTGAAAACCATTTATAACATTATAGAAAATATATATCATAATAGAACACTTAGTATGGATACAATTACATGGTTTATTATACTGTAACGTTTCAACAAGATTTCACAATTAGTTTTCAAGTATATACCTTACATGAGCAATCTGGTTAAAACACAGATCCTATTTCATTTCGTTTTTATATTTCAAAATTTCGTTTTACTTGTCTTTACTACACTTGGATCTGTTATTTAACTCGTGTTCTGAATGGTTTCGGGGATAAGCCAATGAAACGGTCTGTTACGGCGAGCTTTAGGCGTGTTTTTCACGGAACTGTTGGTAATCCACTAGTAACATCAATGCTGATTGGTTAATCAAATGTCTGATGTCTTAGGGTCATAAGTCGGTCTTTTGACCCCTGACGTGACCTATCGCTATAACTTGTCAGATTTTCATGTAGTGTAGGCCATCGAAAGTATAAAAAAAACGAAACGAAATATAGATCTGTATTTTAATCAGATTGTTACATGAGGTATTTGCTTGAAAACGTTTAGTTATTTGCTTGATAACAACTTGTGAAATGTTGTTGAAATGTTGCAGTATAATAAACCAAGTGATTGTATCCATTTTAAGTGTTCTAGTAAGTCAATTACTAAAAGCCTCTCAAGGATTATAGAAAATATATATATATAAAAATTTTCACTGGGTCACGAGGAATAGGATTTACTAATTACTGAGGTTTTATTCCGTTTAATTAATTTGTGGAGGCGAACGGGTGTTCACTTTCAGTAGATATAGCTAGAGATTAATTGATGTCTTATCTTAAATAAGACGATTCGTAAGATTTCCTGTACAGGATTTTATATTTAATTAATAGTAATGTGATAATATCATGTTTTTCTTTTGTAGGCCGTGGAGTATTCAAAGACAATTCCTAAACCACAAGTTAAACCACATCCATCCGGGTATAACTCTTATCAAGTGTCTGGACAAATTCCGTTTGGAAAGAAATTAGTGGAATCCCCACGTAAAGATCCGAATGAAATGGATGTTATCGATTTAGAAAATTTACGGATTCGTCACGAAAGAGATAAACAAAATGTGGCCATGATTCAACAGAATTTAGAAACTCAGAAAGTCTGAGCAGTGATGTGCATTTTATTTTGACTAAATAAAAATATATTTTGCGAAAATCAAAATGGATTGAATTGTGTTGTTTCAAGTGCTAGTATATATCGGTTTGATATTGGAATCTGATATCCTGGACTACTTGTGAAAATCTCTCTCAATTTATTACTATGGTTACCGTCCACAGAACAGTATTAACAGTGGAAATTATCTAAGGTGCCTTGCGTGTGGCTTATAAAATAATCCTGATAAATTAAAATGTGGGAAGTGGGTAGATTATTGATGACCTGTATATATAGAGTTTGATTGTTTAAATATGTAAATATTGAATCAATGATATATCTTTATTTATTATCTAATATTAATAATAGTTGGTGATGATATTAAATAACCAACAGCAGAAATAATACCAGGCATGGTTCCTAGAAAAATTATTATGTAAATTATATAAATTAGATAAAAATTTAGGAATCCCAGCACAGATTTGGTTTAGAGTAGAGGTTTTTGATGATATAGCGCTTCGGGTTATAATACAGTGGTAAATGGTAACATCATAAACTTCAGTTCATATTATTATTATTTAAGCAATTGAAAATTAATTCATAAGCAATTGAAAATTAATTCATAAGCAATTTGAAAATTAATTCATAAGCAATTGAAAACTTATTCATGTGCAATTGAAAATAATTTTATGAGCAATTGAAAATAATTCATGAGCAATTGAAAATAAATTCATTATGAGCAATTGAAATTAATTTTATGAGCAATTGAAATAATTTTATGAGCAATTCCAAAACTTTTAAATAAACACAGAGATGGTATATTAGAATATTAATTAAGTATTAGAAAATATTAAAGAAAGGGGAATTCACTGATAAAGGTCAGTAAGTAGTAATTAATATTACTGATCACATTTTGACAGAATACCAGGGTTTATGAAAGATAACTTATTTATTTTTTTCTGTTAATGTAAATAATTTGGATGTTATTTTTGTTGATTTTTAATATAAAGTGATATTTTATTCAACAGTTTTACTTTATGTACAGATATTTATTATTTATGTTAAAAGCACTTTTAAGCTGTTTAGTTATTTATTTCCAGGCCGCAAGTTCACAAAGCATTCTCACACTAATGTTAAGAATTTAAACATACACTAATTAGAGATTTATTAACAAAACAAGACCATAATCGCCTCTCGATGGCAGCGGATACTCGAGATTTTAACTAGATTAAAATGGTTTGCCATTTAAAAATTTAATTTAAAAATGGGAAAGCTAAGTCCTGATTATACCAGTGCCCTGGTTACCACTATGCACACATCTTGTCAAAGCTACAAACAATGTTAACTTGGCTGAGAATGAAGTAATTTGAATAAAAATTTTAATATTTTCTTTTTTTATCATCTATTTTTGAATCATTATAGCAAGAATGACCAACTCTTTATTAAACTCTTAATGACCAACTCAAAATTCTTCGCCTTGTTTTAACCAAAATATAGCCCTTTATAAACTTTTGTTGTTTTAATGTATCAAATACATCAATAAGAAACTATTTGCAAAGTTTTGCTTAAGTATGAGGATGCTTTGTGAACTCCGGGTCAGATAAATTAATAACTGTGTAGAAACCAGAGTTTTCACTTCAAAATTTTACAAGTTTTAGCATTATACATTTTTTAAAGTTTTCAAAAACTGTAAGTATTGTGTTTTTAGTTTAAACATTTGAAATTCTAATTTTATGTCATGTAAGTAAGTTCGCCAGTCTGTCAGTTTCACTGCCAGGTAAATATGATTGTAACATAGCCCTGATGGAAAGTTAAAACCTTTAAATCTCTATAAGAAGGCAACCTAGTTCTCAGTTTTAGATCTCTGATTAGTTCTCATTTGATTTATACATGAGAATTTGTTATTAGCAGACCTGGCAGTAACAGACATTGTCGGGTCACTTTATCCAGCACAGATCTGCTTTTTTCTGTCTGTCTTATTGATATTTTTAATAATACACGTCCAGGACAATATTCGAAATGTCGAGTAGTTTATTACTGCACGCTAAAATCACATTATTTCAAGGTCTGGGTATCAGCCTGTTCATATTATTATATTGCAACTTTTTACATTATTAGTATTGATCACAACCAGCATTATTTTTATTGTCCACCATGGACTCATTTAAACCAAAATTAGTCTCTAGTATTAATAGTCTTCTTAACGAGTTCTGCAAAGAATTAATCAGCATTTTAAACAGCATTATTTAACAATGTACATAACTTCTCATATCTTGCTTGTGTGTCTTATTTGAGAGGGAATTTGTTAAGAGATTTTTATAATATTCTCTATGTTCATGAAGCGAGCGAAAACCATTTTGGAAAAAAGGTCAACTTTTGTTGAGTCTGTAGTTATATCCCTTTTGTTGAACAGTTTGGTCACTGGCTGCACTGCCTTGCTTGCTCATAGGTGTGTTTGGTGAAATCAGAGACAATTGGCACTTCTCACTAGAATTTAGTTTATATAGTTCACAAGTTGATGTTATGTAACAGAACAGAAATACAGAAGAAAAAAAAAAAAACCAAGGTAAAATAATAATTTCGAAAACTCATTTATCGGTTTCGTAATATTGTAATGGAAACGGGAAACATTTCAGGATAACAAATTTGATATTATTGTCCAGAAAAGTGCCATCTATTTAATTAAATGGATCCCCAAATTAAATTAATTAAAATGTTACAATTTCTATATTGATAATTATTTAACTGATCTAAAGTTTCTGTGATATATCTGATGATAATTCTATAAATATTGTTTGTGTGGAAAAAAATCTGTTTTAAATTATTTATATAATCAAATTTTGAGAAATATGTATATTTAATTATTAAAAGATTTGGATAAAACATTCTTTTGTAGTTACTTTCTTCTTTTAATTTTTAACCTTTAAAAGGATTTATAATTATTAAACATACATTATGCAAGAGCTAAATCTGCCTATTGCAGGTCTTTCTTTAGGCATGAAATGTAAACTATTAATTAAACATTAATTAACTTATCCAAACGATAATCAACTCTTGATGCCATATTATGTGTCCGATTTTCATCGGATTTGAATCTGATCTGCTGTTCGACGCCCATTGATGATTAACCGCAAAAGTGGATAATCAAGACTTTGTTAATTATGGTGACAGCTGTAACAATGGCAATCGAGGCTACAGTGATTTTAAAATAAGGTTTTCTCTGTTTGGAGTGAAGCAATTTGACTGAAATTTTCAGCATATTCCCTTTACATTATTTAGTTTTTAACTATTATAGTGAGAATTGCCAGCTCTTTATCTAATCTTCCATAATGTTTCTTTAATAAGAAAAGAAATATTTTTGCAAGGATAGTTTATTGGGTGAGATTGAAAAATCCCATTGATTTAAAAAAAGACATGGTGCAATTTTCTCTCTCATGGAACAAACAGATTATCAACACAAGTATAATGTCCGACTATTCTGCACTACAAAGGCTAATGAAGATGGTCCTAAGCCATGCCGAGTGCTAACATTAGTACTGGGTATTGCCACTGCAGTTACGATACGATATGTATTGAGATGCAGGTGCTGTGATACGATGATTCATAACCAGGTCAATATTTACCAAGAAAACAACAGGATACATGTAAATAAATAATTGACATTTGTAGTTCTGCCGATGTCGAGGAAATAAAACTGTTTTATATTACGATATTGATGCAGATCAAAATAAAGACCAAAACAATTCAAGAGTGTTTTTATCCCTATGGATAATGTATGACGTGGATAATTAAGAGCGACAGGTTACTTACAGAAGCGACAAAAAAAAAAAACCAACATAAAAAAGAATCGTGATACATCGATTCAGCGCCTTGCGATTCAATTTTGCATGGACCACTACATTTCCTTCTACTCTTCATGAAGATCCAACTGCCAATGGTTTCTTTCCAATGTGTACATGAACCCAAGTTTTTTCATCCCATCAGGATGACTAGATGCTGTTCCTTGTCTGGTCCTGTGGGGTTGGATGGCAGAATGGTTAGCGTGTGTGCGCTGTATCATAAAGACTGTCATTGAGTCAGCTGGCGTGGTTTTGATTCAGCGGTTGTACATGGCAAGGAGTAGGGTTGCCTGTCCCTCCGACTTCTAAAGACCCTACGCGCAAGCAAATTATTGAAATAAAAATTGAACGTGTTAGTCCCAAAATGACCTAGTTGGTGTTGAGTGGATGTTAAACCCCATTTCTCTCTCTCTCTTGTCAGGTCCTCCACCATGCACAGTACTGACAAGGCGAAACTACGCTGGAAAATCTTCAAAAACCTTCTCAAGTAACACTCAGACCTTCTTGTTAGTGAGCCATCATGGCTCCCCGGGAAAACTGAATAGTCAAGTATCTTTTCAGTTCCAAAACCCAACAAACAAATCTGGACAAAACTGATTAAATTATTACAAATGTTCAATAAATTTATTACCTAAACAGATCATACTACCTATGTATACAAATCATACTTCGTCACAAACAAATATAAAAGTTCTTCGCACACACTTTCTTTTAAATAAAATGTTTTTTTTTCTTTTATCACGATTCTGGTAACTTTGTGTTTGTGTCTGAAATAACTTTTCCGTCTTTGGTTTGTACTTTCCCTTCCTTTACTCCAGTAGCTATTTTTTCTGCGTAGCAAGCATCAAACAGATCTTTGGCTGTGAATTCTGTTTGGGTAATTTCTGCGGCCTTGTAAGAGACGTATGGTTTTAACTGAAAATGGGAGAATTTTATTATGATTTTTATACAGTGTTAATCATATTATTATATTTTAAGTTTATTCATTGGCATAGATAAATAGATCAGCTAATTTTATTCCCCTTTTATGGTGTAAGCTTACCCCACTGCCTGACATCAAGTGAAGATAAAAAATGTAACAATCGCTAAAGAATTCTGTTTTGCTATTCACTGTTATAACAAATACCAGAGGTGGGAACTTGATTACTGTGAATCATTTGACCTGACTTGCAACTTGAAAGAGCTAAGAACTCAAATTGCAGTGAGGGGACACAACTCTAACTCCCTTGTTCGTATGCTGACTCGTGATAAACTGGCAACTTGCGGTCCCGCAACTTTTTCCCCACATCTGACAAATACTTACTGGAAAATCTGTTAAATCTGGTACAATAAATTCTGGAATCATTTCAGGAACTTTTATAAATTTACCAGTAGCTTTCTCAATTATTCCTGTCGGTTGAACAACTGAAAAAAAAAAAGTTCTAAATTCAACAAAGGTCTATAAAAGAGTGAATTTTGAAAGATATAGAAATGATCATTTTTCATGTAGCCTACATGGAAGTAGCAAGTGACATGCGAAAGGTTCTGTATTCAAAAGCAGATTTGTGGTTTGAGTTAGGTAGCACTGTTTACCCAAGTGCATATTCTACCATTAAATTCTTATTTCAACTAGACTATTCTTAATCTTTAATAATTAATCATTTAGTCCCTGAATCTCTACTCTATTGACTACAAAATGAAATGGGGGTTTATTGTCCTGCTTTTCAGCAATGCAGGGATTAATGAGGACATGTATAATATGCCATGCAGTGTGCTATGATTCCACCTACTAACTCAGCGAATTCCAATGGCCAAGGGTTCTTTTACTCGTGTAGGCCTACAATTAATGACCTGTTTTTCGTGCCATCCGAACAACGATACTCTTTGAACTTTGAGTCTTTCCTTGCCTGACCTGGCTGTAGGTAGGGACCACTGGCAAGGGGATCGGAACCACACCGAAAACTCCCAAGGAACTTTTTCGGCTCACATCAGAGTCAAAACTTTGGCTTATTTCATCTCTAGCACCTACAAGTATAGATCTTCGTTTTATTTTACATACAGATGTACACAAACCATGTTTAGCAACCGGCATTTCGAGAGCCTGGTTTCCGCCCTTGCGATGTCGATTTACCATCTTTGCCGTGACTGGAAACCTTTTATCAAACGGAACTCTGCTTTTCTTCCCACATAAACATGATGTTGAGCTAATATATCGTAAACCAGCAGATTTTAGACCTACATTTGTCAAACAATTAACAGAAAACATTTTACTATAAATATTTAGATAAATTTTCAACCATTTTGTAAAGGGAACTAACTCTATTTTAACAGTGGTAGACGCTATTGACATGTCTCTTCCGGTCAACACGTGTTTTATGTTTTCAAGATGGCTGCGTCCTTTAAGAAAACACAAGCAAAAGCTTATCCCAAGTTTGGCGAAACTGCCACAAGAGATTCGATTTATTGGAACGATCTAACAGTTCCTGTAACCGTCAAAGAATATGGAGCTATTACACACATTGATTTCTGCCCCGTGGCTCCGTATTATATGGCAGTAACAAGTTCGGCAAGGGTGCAAATCTACAGCCCGAAAACCTGTCAAATCGTCCGGACAATTAGCCGGTTCAAAGAAGCCGCCCACAGCGCTTGTTATCGTTCAGATGGTCGACTCATGGTTGTAGGCGGAGAAGAAGCCCTTGTCAGCGTTTTTGACGTAAACAGCAAATCATCACTGCGAACATTCCGCGGGCACAATCGACCAGTCCATGTCACAAGATTTTTATCCGACAATGTCCGAGTGTTATCAGGATCAGACGATAAATCGACAAGAATTTGGGATTTGGCAAACGAAAAACAGATAATTAATTATAATAAAGAACATGAAGATTACGTCCGAAGTGGAACAACGTGTATGACGAGCCCTGATATGGTGCTAACAGGATCTTACGATCATAAAGCTAAACTATTTGATACCAGAGTTTCTGAGAGTGTTCTAACAGTAGATCATGGATATCCAATTGAAAGTGTTCTAATGTTCCCCAATGGTGGGATATTTATGACAGCGGGCGGAAATATTATAAATATCTGGGATGCGTTGGCTGGTGGTCGTCTCTTAAAATCATTGACACATCATCATAAAACAGTGACGGCCTTGACATTCTGTAGTGATTATCAAAGGTTCATGTCCGCGTCGTTGGACAGGCATGTTAAAGTGTACGATGTGACGACCTATCAGGTAGTTCACACACTTGATTACCCAGGTTCTATTTTAAGTGTGAGTGTTGCCCCTGACGATGAGTTGGTTGCCGTGGGGATGACGGATGGTTTGTTATCTATGCAGAGACGGAAAGATTCCGAACCCAAAGATTTAAAACCTGTGAAGAAAAACTCCTATAAATATCAACTACAGGCAAAAACTTATGTCGTCCAAAAAATGGATCAAGTTGTTCAGCACAAAAAACGTGAAATTTTACAAAAATATGATAAAAGTCTGAAAAAATTTGATCACAGCAAAGCATTAGACGAGGCCCTCCAGCTTAAAATTCAACGAAAACATCCAGAAGTAACAGTTGGGATAATGCAGGAATTAATGCGAAGGGGAACAATAAAAGCGGCGGTCGCAGGACAAGAACCTAAGACACTGTGCATGTTGATAAACTTTGTGCGTTGTAATTTGACAAAAACAGAATTTGCAGTGACGATGATGGATATAGCAAATTTAATCATAGAAATTTACTGGTCGACTATTGGTCAGAACAGTTTTATTGACAGTGCCTTAATGTCATTAAAAAAGGTTGTAGATCGCGAATTAGAACATATCAAAATATCCATGGAAGTTTTAGGTGCCATGGATGTTATCTTTGCAGCAGCGAATTCCAAACAATCCAACTCCACTGATGTAGCGGTAGAACCGTTAAAATCAGATCTCTCTTAAAATCGGTGCCATCTTTTTTTTTGTTGATAACTGAATGATTGTTATATAAAAATATAAATTAAATTTGTTTAGTTGTTTTGATCAAATGATATTTTATTTTAAAAATGAAAATTACAACATCATACTACCCCGTTCATTCGTTCCTGGAGTTTTATGTCCACTTCCACCAAGGGTGATATCGTAGACATACTCCACTGTATTGTCATTATTATACTACCACAAGGGGGGTTGGGTGAGCGAATGGTCTCTACCACAAGGGGGGTTGGGTGAGCGAATGGTCTAACACATGCCCTTTAGATCATAAGGGTTAGTTTCTAAGCTTATACGTGACAAGGAGTAGGGTTGCCTGTCCGACCTTGTGAGAGTTTTCTCTGGATCCTTTGGTTTCTTCCCACTGTTAAAGACCCCCTACGCTCAAGCGAATTATTGAAATAAAATTGAACCATATGTAGTCCTGAAATGATCTCGTTTGTGTCGAGTGCACTTTAAAACCACATTTCTCTCCCTTAATGGCACTCTTTGCGTACAGATTGTTGGGAGAAGAATGTTATGTGTGCCGTCATATTTATATTCTAACACCTAGCTTAGATAAACATCCATATATTCATGTTTGCAGTAATTCAATTGTAAATTCTGACTTTAATCAAATCATTTATGTCATAAACTGGATTAAACACATTTTTTACAATTTTAACTTAAAAAAATAAAGCTGTGTTCTGTAAGAATCTTTTACTTAACTGGAGAGAAGGATTTTAAAAAACTTTAAAAGTTTGGAATTTAATATTTGTAGAGAAACTTGAAAAATTTTAATCTTTGTTACCATGATATGTCCTCAAAAAATGGTAAAAGGGAGATAAATCCATTTATAAAAAGATAAAAAACAAACGTCTGGATAATTTTGACTTGTTTACAGTCGTTACTTCCTGTCACGATTTGCTTGTTATTTTCGGAATCTTATTGATCAATGATCATTTTTCAGCATGAATTCATGACGTATAAATGTTGTCATGCAATATAACTGTATTATATGTACTAGATGATCATAGACTCTACAAAAGAACACCGGTAGATTTTCATATTATTACATTTTATAAAACAAAAAACAAAACATGATTATAATCTTGCTTTCACTAGTTCAACTTTCATGACGCTTCGGATTTCCTGCAATATTTTGTGGGGTTGGGGTAATTAGGGGAATATTATTTACACAGCTTGGTGTAGGGCGAAAGGTTGGTTTTTAGAATCAATATCTCGGCGTCCATTTTTCTAATAAATGTGAGGAGTCCAAAACATCATCATGCCTGTTTATTTAAGGCATCTGTCTCAGACATTGTCAGGCACAAATTCTGGTGCCTTACATTTTGCCCGGTAAACATTTGTCTTTTTTCAGTGTTTTTAAAGGCTCAATACCACTCTTGTTGTAACTGAATAATATGTCCCAATCTTTATTCTGGTCAACAAATTGTACTATTTTACAATATTCCAATTAACTGATGATACAAATTCCATCTTAACACACCTAATTTAAAAAATAGGAAAAATTCAACTAAATGACTTGAAAAGCCTGACGTAAAGCTTTTCAAATGTGACTTGGATTTAAAAATATTTTTGAACCCTCTGGACAAGTAAAATAGGATTTAATGGATAATTTACACAACAGGTAGGACACTAACACATCTAGTACATAGAATAAGGCTATTTTTTATTTTCTGGAGCTGTCAAGCCAGCAAGAGTGTTATTGTCCCTTTAATTGATATATTTGACACATGCTCGACACAAATTCAAAATTTTAGACACAGAGTCAAAATGTTAGACGTGCTATACCTAAACTTAATGTCAATTTAGGACTTTTCACATTTCTCCACCCAATGAATGGATCTTCAACACTCTTATTCAGACACCTATAAATCACACAGGTGCTCTATTTACTTTTCTGTATCCATATTATTAATTACTATTGAAGGTAAAACATGTATAAGAGAATATCAGGATGAAGTTTAAGACTGTAAGAGAAGGGCAACAAGCCCTAGTATTTAATCATCTAGGAGAAAGTGAACTTATTGTTGGACCAAAGAGGGTAAGATTTTTATAAAACACATAATAGAATAATGTGAACATTTGTATAGCACTAGCCACACTGTCTGTATGCTATGTACGACTGTATACTATACACCTTAGCTATGGATACTGCAGTAGCAGGATTTGATTGATGAATTGTTCAACTAAGAATTAAGTCAGTCAATCAAGACAGATTAAGTAGTTAAAGGGCCAATCCCGATAATTTTCTGGAGAATAAAACTGCTTAATTTTGTGTTAAAATCCCTTAGAATCCTCAAACTAAGGGCCGAGCAACTAACTCAATATTTGTGATACGTTTTCAAACAACTTAAACCCGCCAGTCTTCATCTGGAAATGGAGACCGGTGTCCCAAGCTTTATTAGGCGGTGTCTGGATAAAACCAGACTTTTATTTTATAAAAATAATGTGTAGGTGAAATTTACCTTCCGTTATCAAGTACAGCAGATGGGTCATTCACTGTATAGACCTCTCAAGGAACGGGAATCGATTATCAGGTCACCCAACGAAAAAATTGACCCAAAATCGTAAAAGGGTTACGTGTCCGGATAAGCAGTTTTGATGTTCACGTCCAAACGATTCAATATTTTGAGCTGGAATTTTGAGACAAGGTAAATACACCACTCCTCAATATTTTGGTGCTGAAATTTTATACGTACTCCAACATTTATTTTTGAGACTCTGTTCAAGGTAGGTGTATAGACGGTATCAAATGGTAAATACGTTGATCTCTTAATTACTTAATCAATCCAGCCTATTATCAACGATAATTGGGTTGAGTGGTAGATATGCACCCAGCACACTATTTAATTTTGGAATTTTGAATATTATTCACCATGTCTTGATGTCCAATTGGGCATAATCGTGGTCAGACAATTTAGGACGTTTGGAAAATAGCTTCGGACATGTCTGGAATATACGGGCAAAATCCCATCACTGCTGCAGTCCATATTGAATTTGGTGGAAATGATAATTTATTTTTGCAATAGTCCTACAATGTGACTGCTAAGCCGATTTGATAAAACAATGTTGTCCAACCTTCAGTTGTCAAATTATTTTGAGATTTTTTTTAATATCAAACCTGTCAGACTTATTCCGCCATCACTTTTATGCACAGTTATTTCCTTTCAGCACAAAAGCTTGGCAGCCCCATTTTTTATTTGTATTGATTACATTTTAGGTATTTTTGTTGACTGGCAACCCTCTTTTTATGTGTATTGATTTTATTTCAGGTATTTTTACACCGTAAAAGGTTACAAATGTTAAAGCGATATACAGCCAATGCTCGACAATATCTGGTGTTGAAGGATAAAGATGGAGTCGTGACACATAAACAAGGGTATTAATAAATCTTACTTATAATTTATCAATTAACCCACGGCTAAATATATTTGTTAAGGCTAGCTCAATTTTTGTCAAGGTCGTTGAGATGTCAATAAGGTTAGGACACATGATTGTTGGCGAGATTGTTGATTAGGGTTACGGTAAGCATTGGGGTCCAGTGTTAGGGTTAGGGTTGGGATTAGCGCTAGCCCTGTTTTCATCTCGTGACCTATAACAAGAAATTGAGCTGGCCTTATCATTTAGCACTAACCCATTTAGCACTTGGTACATGTAAATATTCACACTGATCAGCAGTGAATATTCCCTAGGCCACTACAATCACTTAAGAGGGATGACATCGATGCGGGTTGATGAGCTCGCGATATAAACTTTTAGAACATTTTTTTGAAGTTTTAGAAAAATAAATAAAGGTGTTTGAAGTATATGTAGGTAAAAGATATTTCCTATTTAGAGTAACAGGGTATGTAAAATGAGTAAAAGCTCCATTCTGTCCTGACCAGTTTATGTTATATAAACCATGCACGTGCTATCGAGCCAATGATCAACACCTGAACTTATAAATGTCTGTCATCTTACACAGAGTTATAAAGAAGGCTTTTGCAATACCTCTGTGAAACAGATTGGTAAATATTGACTACCCTACCCCAGTTCCGTGAAGAAAGCGGGGTTGGATGGGCGAATGGTTAGCATAAAATGTTTGTCATTGTAGTCAACTGGCGTGGTTTGGATACCCTGGTTGTACGTGACAAGGAGTAGTGTTGCCTGTCCAACCTCGTGGGTTTTCTCCAGGTCCTCAGGTTTCCTCCCACTGCTAAAGACACCTACGCACAATCAAATTTTTGAAATAAAATTTAAACCATGTCAGTCCCAAAATGACCTAGTTTGTGTTGAGTGGACATTAAACCCTGTTCTTTCTCTCTCTCTCCTTGAAGAAAATAAGAGAAAAGTGATATATTACATGTAATACCGGTACATCCCAGGACAGACCGAAACAATCCGAAACTGCTGTTCCGTAAACTGCCCGTCTGAAATATGTGAATAGCTTTCTATAAATAGGACTATTTACTAGTTTGTGCAGTTGTAACAGCTGTCCATGTGACAGGGCTGTTTGAGGCTGTCTAAGGAGCTCTAGTTAGGGCAGTTTGGGGCAGTCCAAGTTGTATAAATACTAAAATAGTACTATGTGTTGTGTATTTGTAAAGTGCCCCTGAACATGTTATATGAAAGGGTGCACTATAAATATGCTGTAATAATAATAATAATAATAGTATTTAACTATTTCAGACCACGTGTCATTTTTTATAATAATTCAGTTCATGTGTCGTGTTTTATAATATTTCAGACCATGTGTTGTGTATTTTAGTCTTGTATTTTACTATTTCAGTCCATGTGTTGTGTATTTTAATACAGTATTATATGATAGTATATCTGAGAAAGCAGCCATTCAAGTTGATTCAAATCATATCATAGTTGTCTATCGGCGTCTGGAAACTGGTGGAGTTGATCGTACCATTAAACAAGGACCATGTTTGTTTGTACCGGATGTAAAGGAATGGTAAGTAACAGCTACTCAAAAATGTTTTCAAACTTACAGCTTGATTCCAAGATGGGAGCCACAGTGGCTAAGTGACTAAGACGCTGGCTCAATAGCCGGAGGTCGTGGGTTTGATCCCGTTTTTGGCCAAAGTTCATTAGGATTTTCCAGCATGGTTTCCCCTTGCCAGTGGTGCAGGATGGAGAGCCTGACAAGGACAGCTCTCTAGTCTTTCGGATGGAATGAAAAACTGTGGTCCTGTGTACATATTGGCATGCACGTAAAAGATCCCTTGGCAGTTGGAATTTGATATAAGAGTTGGCCATAGTGCCGCAGTCTGGGAAAAATCGCCCCCATAGCACAATATTTTGATTTTCGATAATAATTTCCAGGGGGATCACAGTGGCTAAGTGGGTAAGCCGCTGGCTCGCTAGCCTGGAGGTCGGGTGTTCGATCCCTGTATTGGCCGAGAAAGTTCATCCCGATTTCCTGGCGTGGTTCCCCTTGTCAGTGAAGCAGGACGGAGGGCCTGACAAGGACAGCTGTCTAGTTGTTCGGATGGGACGAAAAACCGAGGTCCCGTGTACACATTGGTGTGCACGGAAAAAATCCCTTGAAGTTGGAATTCGATATAAGAGTAGGCCATAGTGCTGCTGTCTGGGAAAAATCTCCCCCATAGCGCAAATATTATTAGGTATATGCCCATCTTCATTAGCCCTGTCAGAGCAGAACAGTAGGACTTTAAACCCCATTCCATTTGGTTCCAAGATGCATTTGGGCACATCATCACTTGTGATGTTGGCCAGTTTTAGTCAGAATTAAGCCCAAATGTTGTTGAATAATAAGTATAATGATGAAGTTAGGGTAACTCTTAATTATTGCCAGTTGAAATATTTATGTTTCAGTCATTTAATAGAATAAATTGACATGTTACACCACCAGCTTGAGTTTTTTATGTATAGCTTGGAGATGTTGTCGGAGACTAAAAACACAAAGAAATTTCTAAATCATTGCAAAGAAATTGAATTTGAAAACAAATGGGAAAACAACTTTTTATGAAAAAAAATATTTTGAGTTGCTCAGACATGAAACATTTTAAAACTTGACTGTTTCAGGTTGCACCAGTTTAAATGGCATGGTAATGATCCTGGAGACAAAGGTCGACTGGTTGCTAATGGAAACATATTTACTAAATTACAGACCATTCCTGGTCATTTTTACTATGATGTATGTTCTATTTAGTATTTTTTTTATTATCAAACTAATTCATTTGCTTACACGGGAGAGAGAGACACACACACAGAGACACAGAGAGAGTCGTCGTCCACTTGACACAAACTAGGTCATTTCGGGACTAAATCACGATTCAAATTTATTTCAATAATTCACTTGCACGTAGTGGTCTTTAGCAGTGGGAGGAAACCGGAGGATCCAGAGAAAACCCACGAGGTTGGACAGGCGACCCTACTCCTTGTCGAGTATAACCGAGGAATCGAAACCCTGCCAGTTGACTCAATGACATACCTTATGATACAGCGTGCACATGTTAACCATTCAGCCATCCAACCCCCCGCTTACAGTCGTGAGGCTCTTAAAACTATTTTTTCTTTGTAAACTAGAATAATGCCAAAGTTGAATCCATAAAGGGAATATCAGTCCAAAATGGTTCAATTCTCTTGAGTATTTACAAAAATATGATGAATTGCAAATTGACGCTGTTTGTGCAAGATAATTATGATGTCAGATAAGGCCGTAATGTTTTAGGGTTGAATTAGTTGTTAGTTTTTAATCATCCAGATTTTCTGGCGTGCTTTTCCCTTGTCAGTGATGCAGGACATTGGCGTGCACATAAAAGATACCTTGACAGTTGGAATTTGATAAGAGTAGGCTGTATTGCTGCTGTCCTCGCAAAATTTCCCTCATAACACACTGTATGGCATATGCCCAGTCAGACCAGAACAATAGGATGCTAATCCCCATTATATTTCATTTCATTTCACAACCTCGTGGGTTTTCTGCGGGTCCTCCGTTTTCCTACCACTGCTAAAGACCCCTACATGCAAGCGAATTGAACCATATGTTAGTCCCGAAATGATGTTAAACTCCATTTCTCTCTCTCTCTCTCTCTCTCTCTCCCCCATTTCATTTGGTTAGTTATTAACTTGTTATGTTTATTGTAGGTGAGAGAAGTTCGAACTAATGACGATACCATGATAAAAGTTAAACTCATGTTATTCTATGAGCTGGAGGATATTATTAAAATGGTAAGGAGTTATTGACCTACATTGTTTCTATCCAATTTGTAACCATTGTTTGATTTATTTATTTTCAAGCAATATTTCTATTCAGGATATCATTGCTTGATAAAGATACCTGTAACATACAGGTATCTTTATCAAACAATGATATCCTGAATAGGTGTGGTCTGAAACTGCCTGCTTAAATAACGATAAGAGTAATGTCCCTTTAGTTACAGTAAAAATGTCTGACAAGAAAAATTTTGAAATCCCAACACTGCCTGTATGAGTATTGAAATAAACTAAAAAGAAGTAAAGCCACTGAGTTGTGTATCTTATTAATGTTATACCTCTATTTCTAAATGTCATATAACGATAACTCTACACTTGGCTTGATTTAATTATAATAAAATAAAACCAAGTGCGAACAATCCAAACCATAAGACAGAATTCGAAGTCCTAAAAAACGTTATAGGCAAAATAGTGTATTCAAGAAAAATAGTGTAATCAGGGCGCCACACCCGCCATAGCTGCATCCAAACTATTAGGCGAAATCTCGGTAAAATAGCGTGATTGGCCAATGGACTATCAATGACAGCCTATACCGGTTTTGTTCCCAAAACAAACGGTATAGGCAAAATAGTGTAATCAGGCAAAATAGTGTAATCAGCAAATGGACTGCTCGCCGTGTACAAAATACACGACAAACAGTGGTAACAGGTGTCCGGAAGAGTAAGCTTACCCTGCCTGGCGCCACGTTGATTTGTTATATTTTTTATTACAGTTAGAAATGACACATGATCCTATTGCTGATATGATGAAGTAAGATATCATTTTATGCTGTAAAATTTAATTTAGTGCAATAAATAAGAAAAAGAACTTCATTTTGTTTCTATGTGTACATGCAAGTTTTAAATGATCACCAATTCTAGATGACATTATTTATGTTCTGCCTGCTGACCGATATAATCCGAATTTAATCAAGAAAATTATTATTTTAATTTTTTTTTTGTAATTTTATTTCAGTGCCGTTTGTGCTGATGTTATATCTTTTGCTGGTAAACTGAGGTAAGATTCTATCACTCATTTAAAGTAACGATGCACCATTGGCATTTGGCGCTAAAATATCAAATTTCTCACTATCACGAATACAAAGATAGTTCTATCACTAATACAGAGATTGTTCTATCACTGATACAGAAATTGTTCTGTCAGTAATAAAGAGATTGTTTTATCACTGATACAGAGATTGTTCTATCACTATTACAAAGATTGTTCTATCACTAATACAGAGATTGTTCTATCAATAATCGAGAAAAAATACAACTTGTAATATGAAACAAATCTGTTGTATGTACTTAAAATCCATTTGGTTGTAACCCAACCAACACACTTCTAACTTGGCACTTTACAAGGCCAATGATGAAAAATAAATTGGTTTTGAACTAGGTACTTAGAAGTTGGTTATGAATTAGGTAATTGGTTTTGAACTAGGAACTTCGTAATTTTTTATCAATTAAACCTCATTTCATTTGTAATCATTGAACAGATTGGTCTTTAAATGTTGAAAAATTCAACAAAAATATTTGATATGTGATATTTTGTTGATATTAATGAATTATGTTTTTCAGCTTTGATCAGTTTGTTGGCAAGACGAGTAAATTAAGTGAACTGTCAACATATCAACAACTTGAATTAAGTGGAAATAAAATTGGTTTTAAAATACAGAAAGTTGTTTACTGTGGTTACCATTCTAGTGATACACTTCAGGTTTGTTATCCTATTCATTTAATACAAGGGGGGTTGGATGGCCGAATGGTTAGCATGTGCTTGCTGTATCAGAAGGCCTGTCATTGAGTCAACTGGCATGGTTTCGAATCCCCGGTTGTACGTGACAAGAAGTAGGGTCGCCTGTCCAGCCTCGTGGGTTTTCTCCGGATCCTCTGGTTTCCTCCCATTGAAATAAAATTAAACCATGTGTTAGTCCCGAAATGACCTAGTTTGTGTCGAGTGGACGTTAAACCCCATTTCTCTTTCTCTCTCATTTAATACAAAAAATATTAAATACATTAATTCAAGGGGGTTGGGTGGCTGGAGGGTTTAACACATTAGATGGACACAGTTTCAATTCCCTGCTTGTACGTGACAAGGAGTAGGGTAACATGTTCAACTTTGTGGGTTTTCTGAGTCCTCCGGTATCCTCCCACTGCTAGAGATCCCTAGGCTCCCTAAGCAAATTATTGAAATAAAATTGAACCATACATCAGTCCTATAATGACCTAGTTTGTGTTGTGTGGAATTAAACCCTCTTGATTTTTATATATGAAACATAATAGCTCAGAAAATTTTTCTGTCCACAACTTTTGACATTGCAACTTTAATTTAAATTCTTCATTATATTTGATACGAAGCACTTGCTCATTTTTGATATTGAACAGATTACATTTATTAATTCAATGACGAACAATTTGGCATCTTTCCCCATATTTCAACAGTTTTGTCCTGGGTTAGAATCTTGGCGTAAGAACTTTTATAATTTTTGAACCCTGCCTTCACATGTCAGATACAGGAAAGTGTTGTCTATTTGTTTGGATGGGACGACAATTTGAGTTCCATCTGTGTACTCAGACAGAAATGTCACCTCATTTTACATTTACCTTATATTAGAGTCTCAAAAGGGTCAAAAACTTGAGTTGACAAGCCATTAAAATAAATCCCATCCCATCCCTACCCACATCATCCCATCCCAATGTCATCCCACCCCATCCCATCCTATCCTATCCTATCCAACAATATCTCATGTCATCCTATCCCATGTCATCTCATCCCACATCATCCTATGTCATTCTGTTCCACGTCATCTCATCCCATCCCATGTCATCCTATCCTACATCATCTCATCCCACATCATCCCATCTAATCCTATCCTATCTCACATCATCCTATGTCACCCTATTTCGTGTCATGTCATCCCATCCCATGTCATCCTATCTCATGTCATCCCATCCCACATCATCGTATCCCAAGTCATCCTGTCCCACGCCATCCTATCTCATGTCATACCATCCTATCCCACGTCATCCTATCCCACGTCATCCCATCTCAAGTAATCCTTTCCCACATCATCCTATCTCACATCATACCATCCTATCCCACATCATCCCATTCTATCCCATTGGTGCATCAGAAGCAGTTGAGCAATGCTTTTATATTTTAAGAGATTGTTATTTTTGTATGCAGGAGATGCAGAATAATGCCATTGAGTCGAGAACACGTCTACGGTTAAATGCTGAATTACAGAATCAAGAACGACTGATACTAGATCTTAAACTGAACAAAGAACAAGCTCGAAGTCATCTTAGTAAGTATTCACTTTTCTTGACTTGCCAAGGGAGCTGCATGGCTCGTGTGGCAGGACACTAGATTCTTCACTAAAATAACCTGTGCTTGAATCCCAAAGTTGGCCAATAAAAGCCCTTGGGATTTTTTCAACATCAGTTCCCAATTGTCAGCAACTGAGAAGAAAAGTGTTGAAGGATACAATGTAATTTTATATTTCCATGAAAACACTACTGACACTCAGATATTTCTGACAATGGTAAGGATTTTATTGTGTTGTGTGAGGGACCAAGACAAACGAAAGGATTGCCTTAAGGCAGGGGTTTCAATGCAGTTTTCAACATTGTAATCATAATCATAATGCTTAACCAGTGTCAAACATATAATATATCGTGGGTCAGATATGCTACAAATCGACTCTAGCATGTTCAACACAGCCCAATATTACTCGGCGGCACTGGGAGGGACCCCTTCCACCCTTTTCCCCCGCACATACATATAAATATTGGGGGGGGGGGGCATGGATGGGATCTTGTTCCTCATGCAAAATGATGGGTCACCACACCCTTGCCTCAAGGGCACAAACTCTAGTTATGTTACTGAACAGTTGTAAATCAGACTAACAAATAAAATTTCGCACACTTTTTTAAAATTTTATTTTAGAAAATGAAATGGAGAAAAGTCGTCAGGATCATAAACATCAGATTGAGATTTTAAAACAGTCACATGACCTACATTTACAGGAGTCTCATTACAATCAGAATTCTTTGTTAGAGTCAGAACTTATTTTAGCCCAAATAGGTGAGTTTTATTAACCCTTATAGCCCCTGGGGAGCCACGGTGGCTAAGTGAGGAAGATGCTGGCTCGCTGGCCTGGAGGACGCAGGTTCGATCGTAGTGTTGGCCAAGAAAGTTCATCAGGATTTTCCAGCGTGGTTCCCTCTTGTCAGTGGTGTTCACTGTGCACCTGGAATTCGATTTAAGAGTAGTCTGTATCGCTGCTCTCCGGGCAAAATTTCCCCCATAGCACACTGTATGGCATAAGCCCATCTTCATTAGCCTAGTCGGAGCAGAACAGTAGGGTGTTTAACCCCATTTCATTTCATTCATATTCCCTGGATATAACCACTGCTTCCTAAATCGCTCTAAAAGGTGAAATTTATTACCCAGTGTTTTATTTATGGGTTTGGTGGGAGCATGTGAACGAAATGAAGAAAATCATTATAAATGTCATTTATTCAACTTTGATTTCACCTGCATCTTCGGTATCCCAGGGGTATTCCGCTCTACTCCACTAAGCCCTGGGTTCTTTCATGGGGTATTCACAAATTCAAATTATCTGCCCCTGATGGTTTCATTCACCACATACGTTGATTTTAGAACCAATCAAATAAAACCGTTTACATACCAGTTTTAGCATCATTATTTACATTCACCACAATACAGCAACTTGCACGCTCGATTGCTCACTGTATGGCTTCTGCTCGTCTTCAATAGCAACAAAAAATCTAGGACTTAAATCCCATTTCTTTTATTCAACCTTGGGGGTTTGCCAGAGAATAAGACAAGAGATGTTTAACACACATATATGTTTATAAATATTTATAACTATCAGATAACCTGGCACTGCACGGGTTGTAAGTGGTATAACAACGAAATCTGAAGCGGTAGGCCAATGCCACGTAGCCTATGTTACTCCATGGTCCGAGCTACCCTTATACACCAAATGTCAGCCCCGGGGGAGCCCTAGTGTAGCCGCCAACACTGAATAAACAGAACAAACAGACAAACGACAGTCATAAAAAATGTATTAATTTGTATTTTACAGGTCATAAAGAGAATGAAGATAGACGGAAACTGTCATACTTACAAAAGTTACGTAATGAAAAAGTTGACTTAAATCAAGTTTTATTATCTCAGCCTATTAAAGAAGAAATTCGTATTATAAACAAATCTCTGTAGACTAAGTAACGAGGCCAGGTTCCAAGAAAAAAAAATATTTCCATGCTAACACAGTTGTTCAAACTTTTTAACAAAATTTAAAAGACTAAATAACGCGGGCAGGTTCCCCCCCAAAAAAATTGCTCAACTTTTTAACATTAATGAAAGATGCATTATGTAAGTCTGCCTATTGCAGATCTTTTGTTTGGCCTCAAGTGTTAATATAAATCATTAATTAGACATTTATTCACATGCAAAGCCCATATCCAAAGCACTGGAGTCTAGACCATCGGTTGCTTTTGATTTTTAATGGATTTAAACATGATTGCTTATTTTATTATCGTAACAATGGAAGCAATGACAATTGAGACTATGCTGTTCTTTTAACAGCAATAACTCCGCTCATGTGACCTAAATGATCAAATTATTCTCTTTTCATTATCTATTGTTTAAACTATTATTTTTAAAGCTACAATTTCATATTTTTAAGTTATATTTTTAAAATTTATTAAAATAAAGCCTTAAAATAGATGGTATCCATAAACCGTCCTACCTTGTTAAAGAATAATCCTATAAATCCTATAATTCACTATTGCCAAATGAGAAATTGGCAAAAATATTATTTTCAACTTCAAATTCCAATGTTTGAAGGTAGCTAATGCATGGAGGCAGTAGGAAAACAAGGGAGGTAATTGTGTTATTATTTCCTGTGTCAATGATTTTTAAGGGTGGGAAATAATGCCCATGGTCGTATAATAGTGAGTTGATAACCTATTGAGCAAAAGACATAGAAATAATTATGTTTTGACTTTCTTAGAAAATATGAAATTCTCGCTTTAAAACAACGTAATATTTTGTGATATCAGTCAGAGCCTCCTTCACTTCAAAACTTTCCCAGTCGCTCAATTTTTTGACGTATTTTGTTTACCTCAGGTTAGAGGGATTTTAAAAAAAATATATATATATATATATATAACTGTTTTTAGCCATATCCTAATTTTATTTTTTGAACCAGGAACTGGTCGCTAACCTTTTTTTTCTTCTTGGGGTGATGCTCTTCGAAAAAAGCCTAAGGCATGGTTCTTCATTGAACAATTCTGCATCGATTTGGTGAATTAGATTTTTGAATTAATCTTGTCCATAGTACGATCCTACTTGTTTTTTTTATGTATTTTTATGTGTTTTTACACATATAATCTATTAATTTTACTGTAATTATTGTGTTTTAAGGATAAATGTTATGAAATTGTAATTTTATTGCATGTAAATTGACTAACAGGTAAGGTTCTCCAGTCGGTCATTTGCATTGTCAGTCAGTCAGGACAGGTAAATATAACTAAAACAAGAGCCCTGGCCCCGAGTTCACAAAGCATTTCCAGTTTACTCAGAATTGTTCACCTTATGTTTAGTAAAATATAGCCCTTTTTAATACTGTTGTTATTTTAATAAGAAACTATGTGCAAAGTTATGTGTTTCTGGATCAAAGTTTGAACGTTTAGTTAATTCTTAAACATGCATTATGCAAGAGGTAAATCTGTCTATTGCAGGTCTTTCTTTAGGCTTGAAATGTTATCTAAATTATTAATTATACATTAATAAACCTATCCAGACCATAATCAACTCTAGATGGCATCGCTAGCCTTCGATCTTAAGTGGATTGTGAGCCGATTTACTGCATAACTTTCCTTCTCCATTAAACGATTAAATGGATAATCAAGACTATGCTGTTTATCGTACTGACTTTAGTAATGATGACCGAGGCTAGGCAGAAATTTGATTCGCTTAGTTCTTGGTTCATAGTGGATCAAATTGAATGAAATTTTCAGCAAATTGCCTTTACGTTATCTAGTTTTTTATAGTGAGAACTGCCAACTCGTTATCGAATCTCCCATAATGTATCTTTAAATTAAGTCTGAGAATGCTTTTTGAACTTGGGTCCTGGTATATATATGGATATTTGTACCTTACACATGAACGTGATCCCTGCTTATTCAACACATTATTTTATTTTTTATTTGTTAAATATATTGATTTTATGGATCTATTTATAAGGTTCAAAGACTTGATAAGTTTTATCTAAAATATGGATTTGTACACTATTTTATTTTTTATTTATTATATTTGTTTCTTTATAAAGATTTTTCCTATCTGTATTATTATAGCCCTCCCTATGCATCATATATCATATCTATTAATGGAATAATGTCCCTCTATTTATACTATCAGTATTATTATTATAGCCCTATGTAATGTATATCCAATTTATTAATAGTCCTATGTATTGTATATCTTATCTATATTAATAGTACTATTTGTAATATTGTTGAGAGCCTTCCCTTGTGATCTGATATTTATGAAATGTGCATGAGTCGTTTAACTCATTCAAAGGCAGAATCCTATTTATTTGCAGTGATTTTCAGTAATTTTCATAGTTATGCCCCTTTGTTATAGTCTTTTGTATATTTGTCACATTTCATGTTACTACACTAGAGGCTACTTAATCTATATGGATGATATGAGTTGTCCATCTCCTTGAAATAAAGAAACCTGTTGAGTTTTAAACATCACCTCCAGAGTTATCCCCCTTTCATAAAGTCTTGTAGGCTGCACTTATAAAACTAACTGTCTGAAATTAGGTTTGTTGATCCTATTGCAAGAAGGGCACCTACTGATTTTCAATAATTATTCCCAGAGTTATTTCCCTTTGTTATAAAATCTTATTAGCTCCATAGGGGCGGATTCACTGTACTGCCAAAAAATAGTTAATGAATAATGGGTGGACCTAGTAGGTGAAGGATGCCCTGTCGGGTTTTAAGACCCAGTCAGCTACTGTTTCTTTATCTTGTGCGTGTATGTTTCGTTGCCCGTCATACTATGTTTTTCATATATTTACCTAATATTATCGTATCATGTTGTTATACCTAATATATTTTTTTGAAACTTTTTTAACTGTTTATTTGTTGTTTTAATTGTAATACTGGTTTAAATAAAATATTAAAGAAAAATATTTTAGAGTTCAATCCTCTCTATCTCTTCTATCCCACCTTCCAACCTCGTGGGTTTTCTCCGGGTCCCCCGGTTTCCTCCCACTGCTAAAGACCCCTATGCGCAAGCGAATTATTGAAATAAAATTAAACCATATGTTAGTCCCGAAATGACCTAGTTGTGTCGAGTGGACGTTAAACCCCATCTCTCTCTCTCTCTCTCTCTCTCTCTCTCTCTATCCCACCTTTTGCATGGCCATTTTTGTTGACTTTTCGATCTAGAATTGAAGAATTGGACTTACACTGACATTTTCTTCAAGATTTTGGTTTAGTGGTATGCACGACCTCATACAAAACCGGTACAAGACATTACTAGATGTTGCCCCGTCTGGGAACACACTGAACTTAGGCAGAGACAAGAATTAATATTCTCTGTAAGAATTTGATCTGCCTCCATAAAGTTTTGTAGAGTTATCGACTGTCTCGTTCATCAAAGTTGTTTTATATAGAGATGCACCCGTTGATAAAACACTTCTCTTCTGAGAAGACGTTTCAGTTGGTTAAAGATTTAGTTTATATGAAGCTGTTTCTGTTTATCAAAGCTGTTTTATTTTACATGAAAACCCTTCTGTTTATCAAAGCTGTTTTATAACATGTTTCTGGTTATCAAAGTTGTTTTATAAGAAGATGGTTCTGTTTATCAAAGCTGTTTTATAAGAAGATGGGGCTGTTTATCAAAGCTGTTTTATAAGAAGATTGATTGTTCTGTTTATCAAAGCTGTTTTATAAGAAGATGGGTCTGTTTATCAAAGCTGTTTTATAAGAAGATTGATTGTTCTGTTTATCAAAGCTGTTTTATAAGAAGATTGATTGTTCTGTTTATCAAAGCTGTTTTATAAGAAGATGGGTCTGTTTATCAAAGCTGTTTTATAAGAAGATGGTTCTGTTTATCAAAGCTGATAGAAATTTTATTTCTGTTTATCAAAGCTGTTTTATAGAAATTCTGTTTTTGTTTATCAAGCTTGTTTTATAAGAAGATGTTTCTGTTTATCAAAGCTGTTTTATAGAAATTATTTTCGGTTTATCAAAGCTGTTTTATAGAAATTATTTTCGGTTTATCAACGCAGTTTTGTGAAGATGGTTTTATTTATCAACGTTTTATTATAGGGAAATATTTCTATCCATCCAATGTGTTGAATTTGAAAACGCCTCTGTTTGTCAAAGCACTTATAAAAAGACGCATTTATTCATGAAAGTTGTTTTATGGGAAGACTGATTTATAGGAAGATCAGGGTTTTTCTTTTTAACACTATTTATTCAGTTAATATTTACATATAATAAAGATGCAAAATATGATTATGATATCTGAAAACAGGGCGTGGCTTATATAAACTCATATGTTTATGGAAGGTAGAAAACAGGGCGCGGCTTATATAAACTCGTATGTTTATCGAAGGTAGATCTGTTTATCGAAGCAGTTTTATTGGAAGATATGTTTATCACAGCTGTTTTATAGGGAGATCTGTTTATCACAGTTGTTTTATAGAAATATCTGTTTATCATAACTGTTTTATATGAAATAAAATGATGGTTCATATCTGTTTATCAAAGATGTTTTATCAAAACTGATTGATAAGAAATACGCTTCTGCGTAACAAAGATGTATATATGGAAGACGCATCCTTTTCTCCAACCTGGTTTCCCTCAGACGATTCTCTGAATTACTTCTTCAGACTAACGAAAGATGTGGTACAATAGAGTGGAATCGGGACTCCTTTCCAATTTATTAAATCTTATCTGATTATAGATTGGATAAGAACCATGTAGAACCTTCTAGATATATATTATAAAGAAGCTGATATGTAAGTAGGGTAAATAAACCAGGTTTATCTAACGGGCACCTGTTTTTTAATACGCGTGATTCCATGTTAATATAAAACACATTCAGTATTATCAGTGCGAACATACCCCTTAACGACCACTTATACTATAATAAACTTGATAAACCTTTCACATGTTCTCTATTTAATCTAGACTATCTTTAGATTATCAAGACGTTAATTAGTCCATAATTCCTTACATCACCAGTTGTTGCCCACTAATCTGTTGTTGGCTGTTATTCCAGATAAGCTACTGTTGTTTTTACTGCATGTGCGATTATCATCTCCGAATAAATTATATGCAAACAGGAACTTCGCGTATGGTCCAATTCAGAAATAGATTTCTCGTAACCACAGGAGGGGTAGGGTCACATGTCATAAGGGTTAAAAATAACACTAATAAAGATTAGCTCAGTTAGGGCGCGGTCACAGTTAAATTTAAGAATGTGGGGAAGGATCTAAATATGGGTTGTATCATAAATTCTGTAAGAGGTAATCTTTATTTTGAATAACAACCTGATTAAAACACAGATCATATTTCGCTTCGTTTTTTATAGTTCAAAATTTCGCTTTACTTGTCTTTACTACACTAGGATATGGAAGAGTTGTTATTTAACCTGCTTTCTGGATGGCGTGAGGAATAAGCCAACGAAACGGTCTGTTACGGCGCGTTTTTGGCGTGAGGTGCACGGAACTGTGGGTAACCCACTAGAAACATCAACGCTGATTGGTTAATCAAATGCATGACGCCAAAGGTCAAAAAGCGCTTGTATGACCTCTGACGCGACCTTCCACTAAACCCTTTCAGATCTTCATGTATTGTAGGCCATCGAAAGTATAAAAAAAAACGAAACGAAATATAGATCTATTCACGAAAACTTAAACTAAGATACAATCGAAATTTTAAGAAATACTGTAATTCGATTGGCTGACCAGTAAAATCAGTTTGCATATATCCAATGAAGTTGCAGTATTTCTTAAAATTTCGGTTGTAACTTAATTAAAGTTTTCGTGAATAAGGGCCCAGTATTTTAATCGGGTTGGATTGGGGTGGAATAGGGTCATTCTATTGTGTGTGTCACCCCTTAAATATCGTGTTCGAGAAAAAGTGTCATCCATATATTTCTAATAATATAAATTATAAAAGTAATGCCTCTTTATTCAGTGTATCGTATACGTTTTACCTGTTAAACGAGTATTATTATTTTTCAATTTCCATACATAGGCTAAACGTTGCTGGATAGACAATCCGTGACGTAGACTCGATACCGGTATATCATTTGGCGCCAATATTGGTAGGAATGACAATAACGCGTGTATCACGTGCTTGTTTATTTGTGTAGTATTAGCGAAGGTTGAGGGTGAAGATTATACTTTACGATGTTCTTATCTGCCTTCTTCGTGTTTTAAATGTGTTTTGCCTGTCGTGGCGGGTTTGTTTGATGTCTTTATTTAGAGGTTGATTAAAAGAAAAATAAACCCAGGTTTTGGCGCGGAAATTGATACGGGAACAAGCGCGAGGTCACAACACAACGAGCAGGTGTGGAATGAAAAGTAATTTTTGGTATCTTTTTACTTTACAACTTACGTAAACTGGCACAAAGTTGTTTACATTAGAAGAACGGAGATCTGCTCTTCAGATTGTCAGTCCGTCTGCCACGAACTTCCCGCCTTTTCTATCTTCAACACTCGCCATATATCTTTTCATCTTTAATTCACGAGAACCAGATATGAATTTATACATGAACATGTATACACACATTTAGTAATGTTGATTCTTGGGAATCCCATGGGGCCGCGGTGGCTCAGTGGGTAGGACGCTGAGTCGCTAGCCTAGAGGTCTCGGGTTCCTTCCCGGTGGTGGGTGGTCGAATGGTAGCCCTATAAGGCGTGCATTTTAAATCACAAGACCTGACACTGAATCGAGGGTTTTGGATGGCCGAATGGTAAGAACGTGCGCGCTGTATCATAAAGCCTGTCATTGAGTCAGCTGGCGTGGTTTCCAATCCCCGGTTGTACGTGACAAGGAGTAGGGTCGCCTGTCCAACCTCGTGGGTTTTCTCCCACTGTTAAAGACCCCTACGCGCAAGCGAATTATTGAAATAAAATTAAACCATATGTTAGTCCCGAAATGACCTAGTTTGTGTCGAGTGGACGTTAAACTCTCTCTCTCTCACACTGAATCAGGTGGCGTGGTTTCGACCCACAAGCTTGTGCCAACAAGGAGTAGTATCGCCTATCCAACCTCGTGTTTTTCTCCTGGTCCTCCGGTTCACCCAAATGCCAAAGACGCTCATAAAATTTCATTTCAACCATTTATTCACCAGCGATGAAAAACAAATCGGCTACAAACTTATAGTCATGCCGTTTTAGTTGAGTATTCAAGATGTTTGCATACAGAACATTTGGGTGCTATATCAATATGCTCTCGGCTAACAAGGTTTACATGTGTCGAGATGGAAAGAAAACAAACTGACTGTATTCCTATATAGATATTCTTGGTATGGCGAATCATTAACACGTGGTAGGATATTTATTTAACATATTACTTATTTATTTACATAGTGTAATAAACCCATTCTTCTCTGATTTACATAAATAAACAATAAGGTACAAGACAACAATAAACTATAAATTAGTAGTTTTATTCTTATAATAACAAACCAGTCATGTCTCACTAGATAAATGTAATGTGATAAAAACCGTTACACAAATTAGTTATCTCAGTTGAAGCATAAAACAGTAGGACGTTAAACCCTATTTCATATCATTAAACATGCATTATGCAAGAGCTAAATCTGTTTATTCCAGGTCTTTCTTTGGGCCTGAAATGTTATCTAAATTATTCATTAGACATTAATTAACTTATCCAGACCATAATCGAGTCTAGATGGTATCGCTAGCCTGCGATCTTTAGTGGATTGTGAGCCGATTTACTGCATAACTTTCCTTCACGATTTAACGATTAAATCGATAATCGAGACTATGCTGTTTTTCGTACTGACTTTAGTAATGATGATCAAGGCTAGGCGGAATTTCAATCGCTTTGTTCTCGGTTCATAGTGGATCAAATTGCCTTTACATTATCTAGTCTTTAACTATTACAGTGAAAACTGCCAACTCGTTATCGAATCTCCCATAATGTATCTTTATGTGATAAAAACAGTAACAAAAATGAGCTATTATGCGTTATCAATGCAGAAATACAATAACATTGTGAACCCCTGAAATGAGAAGTCGTATCCGATGTTCTCGAAAGAGTGAACTCCGACAACTTGTAACAAAAATGGGCCTAAAGCATACTCCATATCATTAACGTTACAGAAATATTTATTTCATTCCAGTTATTTTATTTACTCGAAGATCTATCAAATTCTTTATGAATTTTCTGTTCTCTCTGAAATCTAATTATAGCTGTTGCGATTGGATAAAATCCTTTCAGGTTCGCCAAGTGTCTGTTGAATGACTAGCGCTAGATAAAAGGGTGGATACCACTGCCGTAAAAAAGAAAAGAATGTAAGGTCAGATTTTAATCTGACTACGGAAATTCCTCCCGCCACGGAATTCTGTGGAATACTAGTTACCGAAATCAAATTGTTACCGATTTTCAACAGGTCGAAGAACGTTACACGGAACACAAAACATTAATAAAATATTGTCCAACTTTTCGATGTGATTAGTAGGAAATGGTTATTATCACGGCACGATATTTTCAAGGCACACTTCTACTTTTAGTATGTCCCAAGATAGATGGTCGAAATCTGGTAAGATCTCAGTGGAGGATAATTCAAATTTCGAGTATGACAATTTCAAAAAAATGAAAATGACATCATATTCAGCATATATTCGCTCTTGTAATGGAGACTTTTAAAGTGACTTCAAAAATTATGAAAAAAGATTCTACGTCCAATTATTTCGAGATCACCTATTCAACAGAATATCTTTGACAGATTAGACATGAATCAAACAACAGAGGCCAATATTTTGAAAGGATTAGATGTCGGTCATAAAACTTTTTGGAGCGATCAAAGAAGAAGTTGCCTTTTGAAAGGTCAATTATTAAAACGGGGGTAGGTTAAGAGGATTGGGGTCGGCCATTAATAATACTTTAACTTTTTGGAGCGATCAAACAAGAAGTTGTCTTTTGAAAGGTCAATTATTAAAACGGGGGTAGGTTAAGGGGATTGGGGTACACTTTTTTCATGGTATATCGTCATCGGTAAACAAGTCATCAAAGTCCTCTATCGTTGTCGTACAAATATTGTTCTTCTTGTGTTCACGACTCGACTTAATGTTGTCTTGGGAACTCTCTAAAGTTGATAACTGACAGGACCAAATTTCTTTATCAACAAAACACAAGAAAATGGCCAGAAATAGTCCCCGGGTTCTCATGCACACTATCCACAGAAAATAATGCGTGGTGTATTCATCCATGCCCGGGATACCCTTGGAAAAATCACTCACGAGAAGATATAGTTCCAGTGTTGTTAAAATCATGGAGACCATGAATGCTCTGTGTGTTCCTTGCCTAGCAACCAAAATATCACCTAATTGCTCCGCGTGACCGTTGTCACCGTATCGGAAAAATGCATAGCAACAGACGACCAACATACAAAAAGTCACCATAATACATAAAAATTTAGGTGTTACAGTTAACCATATTGATGGATGTGACAGAAAGTTGACAAAACACGAATTGTCCATTTCTATTAGAAATGTCACACAAAGATACCACGTGCCAGTCGTCACTATGGGAATACCCAGACCAATGACGTACATCACACACATTGCGGTACACGTCACAGGACTCCGTAAGGCTTTTAGATGATAGAAAATCGCCAGCACCATTAACCACGAATAAATAGCAGTTTCTGAATATTTTAAAATAATAATTTCCAATTTGCAAAAATAATCTCGCCTGTGAACTTCATCCTCAGATTTGTCGGTGTGGCGTAATGTCATGGCAACCAATGACATCATATGATACATCATCACTGACAAGAAAAGTGGAATGACAACTCTGCATCGCATGCCCTTTCTTGCGATGATAATGTAAAACAAAATGGCGATGAGACACGATACAATGGACACACTTGATAAAATGAACTGTAATATCTCGCCAATTCTCATGGCTCTGTGAAAATCCGAGGACACAGCTTCTTCTGACGTAGTCGACGTTTCGAGTGTCGCAATAGTTAAACACTGTGTGTAATCTGTGAAACCCGCTGAATTGTCCAGCCCTGGCAGATCAACCGGGTCGCCGATAACTGCCCACGTCCCGTCCTTATTGCAAGACTTGTAGGCGTAAAAACCTTCACTGTTAAAAGTCGGACACGCCTGGCGTATTGTACTACCGGCAAGAGTTGGCGGCCAACACAATATTCCGTCAAACGTTACATTGCAAAACTTCCCAGGTGGGTAACCTAACTCATAGAAATTTCCTAAAGCATCCAAACAATCTTCCAGACTGTTGCCCAGATGGGCTCCCGTATCCTGTTTAAATTCCATTTTTGAACAGAGAAATTGAATCTATTCGCGTGGTAGGCTTCTAATCATATTTGTGTTATAGAAATCCTGTAATGTCCCAATATGCCTGTAATGTTTCAGTCTTCAATTAATCACACTGTATTGAGCGAGAGAAATGCGTATAACGGCACAATTTACCAAAAAAATATCCCAAAGAATTCAGAAATTGTTTGGAACTTTTGATTCATCCGTGCAACACGTTTTTCTTTTCACTTTGAATGAATGTTGGGTAATACACTCCACATTCCTGTAAAAACAGAATCATTGTATCTTCAAGTTCTCTCTTAATCTAAAACACAGTAGACTCTCTTCTTCACAGCAGGGCCACTTATATCACTGCCAATAGCCACTTTTTACTTTCCTCTCACAACACCGATTCGCTGGTAATTCTATTAATTAACCACAGCGCACTCGACACCTTTTTGTTTCCACTATATAAAGAATGTACCGCAAGCTGGAAGTAATTTATTGCTTCACTTCACGATTTATTGTGTAGTCGCACTTAGTGATGTCCATACTTCGAGAATTGTAGCAATGTACTCCGTCAGAGACGAAAAAACAAACACCTCATTTAATTTTTCTCAAATAAAACAAAACTAAGCCGAACAAAGTTAAGCCATGTAATCATTCGGACACGTACGTTAAATGGAGTCTTTTCCGTTTAAGCTAAAAAAAAAGAGCAAAGAATATCAGCACTTTTGCACACCAGACGGGAAAGAGTTTCTGTAATTTTTAGGTCCGCTTAAAAAAATCTGACTTTGAAATCTTTAATCAGCCAGCGATGCCCGTATCTAGCCCTTCTTCGAATGTAAAGGGAAGAATGAAAGCACGTTTGTCCAGAAGGTTCTTTTAAAAGCTCGGCATTCCGAATCCGTCTGTAGGTAACGAAGGGTTGCTAATGAACGTTCCCGGTCAGAATGTATTAACTTTAGCTATGCTATATTACCCTAGAGGACAGACGAGAAGATCCAGTTCTCTCGTGTTTATATTCCCGCACCGTGTTTGATTAGCAAGAACACCAACTCTGTTATGAAATCGCCTTTATCTTTGTTATTACGCAACCTTTATTTAAAACCAATTAAACACATAATTAGAGTTATCTTTCCTTACACAGACTTCTATCTGTCCGTTTTTTGTTCTTCAGTAATTCCGCCAAGAATTATTCCCATTCGTCGTGTTATTCAATATCGTTTGTTTATACATTAATGTTTTTAAACGATGCTTTACTGTCAAACTTCCTAACATATAATGCAATTAAAAATATGTTTATATCAACGTCACTTCAGTCTGCGTTTAAAGTCAGATATATTTACACTTATCAAATAAATTATACACGAGTTCTGCCTTTGGCGTGGAGGTTTTTTTTTATCTGTTACGCACTGGAGAATCGCCAGAATACAGGTAAAAATTGCAATTCATGTTTTACATCAAAATCTGAAATAGGAAGTTTTTATATTGTTTATACGGCTATTTATAACCACATAGTTTGTGCTTCTTTTCCTTTTTACATTAAAACACAAATTTCAAAATAATAAAGCAGCCGGAAAGATTCCAAAATGACATACGCCCATTGCGTCAACAGTTTTATATTCAGCTTATTAATCCCGTTACTATGGAAACATAAATCAAATATCGCCAGTATTTCTGAAATAAAAATAAATCTGTTGTGAGTTTTACATCTTGTATATCATTAAAGCAACTTTATCTCTGAGAATCTGGGGATATGGGGTAGAATCTGATAATTGTTAACATCATCATTAAACAATCGTCGCATTGCTGTACTGTACTTTACATCGGGAGGCGTGGTGGCTCAGTGAGTATGTTCCACGGGATTTCCTTTGGCCTTGTTAGTGATGTAGGACTGATTGCCTGGCAACTATTCTTTCGCATGGGACGAAAAACGGAGGCCCCTGTACCCGTTGACGTGCATGTAAAAACAACATACTACATGGCGTAAGCCCGTCTTCATTATCCCGGGGTTTCGATTTCCCGGTTGTACGTGACAAGGAGTAGGGTCGCCTGTCCAACCTCGTGGGTTTTCTCCGGGTTCTCCGGTTTCCTCGAACTGCTAAAGACCCCTACGCGCAAGCGAATTATTGAAATAAAATTGAACCACGTTTTATTCCCGAAATGGACGTTAAACCCCATTTCTTTCTTTTTCCTTCTTTCATTATCCCGGAGTAGGACGATAAACCTCATTTCATTTCATTATCCCAGTTTGTACAGGCAACTAGGATTTCCCATTTAATACATACTCCAAGAAATACAAACTATTCCATAGAAAGATCGAAAGGAAAAAAAAGGAACGCCACCCTTTTATGAAAGTTACAAATATCTTAAAATATCTTATTTCTGCTAAATAATGCCTGGTTACCTAGACAACTATCACATTTTAATTTTCACAAGAACAAATCTTTTTTAAAAAAATTAAAACTTGTTCCACCACGGGAGATTGAATTAAATAACGGGAGATAATCGTGAGAGAAGATCATAAACAACTTTTTTGGCGGTAATAAAAGTCGTAAAAGAGTCTTTGATACTTTCTATCTGAAATCTTTCTAGGGTGCAATTACCCTTCCCATTTATCAAATTCAGCCGGTTTTTTTTTCTTACATTTGTAATTGTGTAACCATGACATAAGAACGGGATGAACTCTAGGGTTGGCATGGTAGCACGTGAGCGGAACGAGAAATGGATGTTTGATTCTTAAATTCGGAGTTTACACAGGTGAAACTATTTCGTTACCAAACACAAGTGAAGGTTAAAGTTATCCCGTGTGCATCTTAAGGCGAAACAAAAGTTATTGTTAGTTAAAAATATCCTAAATATAAATCCACATGTCGCCATTTTTGCTAATAAGAGTGACGTTTTTTCTACTTACAGTCATTTAGACGCAGTTATCCAGTTAAAATACAATTAAACCATCTGTGATTGACATTGTAGATCACTTTAGTTTTCATCATCCAGTCGTTAGATAGTATATTTTCGTCATGGTTTCTGAAACAATAAATAAAACAAGATAATAGTTATGTAATAGAATACGATAATCTGTAAACCAGCATTTAAACTCTATAAACCATAGAGGCTACAGTATAACCTGGTTATACCGAATCCATTATTTAAACTCAATAACCACGTATGCTACAGTATACCCTGTTTATAACGAATCCATTATTTAAACTCTATAAACTAGGTAAACGACAGTATAAACTGGCCATAACGAACCCAGTATTTAAATTCTATAAACTAGGTATAGACTGCAGGATAACCTGGTTATAACGAATAACGATATGATTCTATTATTCAACCGCGGATATTAATCAACGAAAACCCAAACCCGAAAACTACATAGCGAGTGTACAAGATCGGACAATAAATGTGGTCTGTGTAGAGTGTTTGCAGGCAGTTGTGGACGACAGACCCCCGGGGCGACAATATACGACCACATTTCCATATGGGCGTATAAAAAAACTATTAGGTTATATTTTTGTAGGGCGTCCTTTCTTGTATTGCCGAGAAATTGAATACCAGTTCATTTCATTTATTATGACTTTCGACATTTCCTAGTAACCGTCTCTAACCCATTGCCTCCTCTCTAGTTGAGTCTGAACCAATAGCCGGAAGAAACAAGCGTTCTGGTATAATGGCGAATCGGTCTTTAACATTTTCTTGATAGGTAAAAATATACAGAATTATCGCATATAGCCAGTAGATAGAAACATATATATCATGTATTTATTGTTAACATATGTAGGTAACATGCACGCGCACCCCATAACACATACATGCACGTACATTATATCTAACTCATAAATAATACAGGTCGTAACACCGATATAGATGTATCTTCTTCATCCTACATGAAACTATACTTATTAATATACATCTATACATAAAATATCTCTTAACGCTGTCTCAAGCGGCACACGAGTAATAATTTAAAGGGAACATAGAAAAGTTTGCCTTGATTTAAAGTCGTTGATGCCTTGTAAATTACTATATTGTGAAAGTTGAATCTGTAAGAGAAAATGTCAGCCCAAAAATGGTTCTCAAGTCCGTTCGGATGAATTGACAATTTGTCGACATTCGGGATCCTCAGCGATTATGGTCAACAAAAAACTGCACCATCTACAATTTTCACTATAGGCGAAACCAGACAATAAAATCCCGATAAACTTTCTCGGCCAACAATGTAATGGATCCCGAGACCCTGTGGTTGTCAACCATAAATAAAATGAAATGGGGTTTAAAATGCTCCTATTGGGCTAATGTAGGCGGGCATATGCAACGCAGTGTGCTATGAGGAAAATTTTGCCCGGACAACGGCGCTACGGACTACTCTTATTTCGTTCGAATTTCAACTGCGAAGGCGTCTTTTACGCGGATGCCAATGTGTACAAGGTTTTTTGCCCCATTCAAACGACTATACATTGTTCATTGCCAGGCCCTCCGTCCTACACCACTGACAATGGGGAACCACGCCTTAAAATCCCCATGAAATTTCTCGGCCATCTCAGGGGTCGAATACGGGCTCTCCAGGTCTTTCTCACTGAGCCCCGTTTTGTGAGTCAGAGCCTTAGTCATTGAGCCACCGTCTATGGTTAAATCTATACTAATATTTGTAACTGTCGTTTGTCTGTTTGTCTGTCTGTTCGGGGTTGGCGGTTACACTAGGTCTGCCCCGAGTCTGAAATTGGGGTATAGGGGTAGCTCGGACCGGGGAGTAACATAGGCCAGGTGGCGTTAGTCTACCACTTCCGGTTTCGGGGTTATGACCCCCGAGCGAGGCCGGGCATTCGTCTAGTAGAATATAAAATTGATTGCATTTTTTTTCTTGTGGACAATTTTAAAGCCTCTTTAAAACTATATTTTAAACTTAAATTTCATTCTAGAAAATCTAATCTGAAATTCTGATTAAAATTTAAAATTTTATTCTAGAAAATCTAATCTGAAATTCTGATTAAAATGGTTGGCCTGTTTTGATCCACAAATATTAAATTAATTCGTTCAAAAATTCGTAAAATTTGTTGCAGCGGTTATAAATAGATGAAATAATATTATGGGCTCTCTTGTATCTCTCACACCTTGTTTTAAGTTAATTCCCATTAGTTGGAGTAAATCCAATCTTAAATCAAGATTAATAGTTTATACCTTAAACAGGTGCAGGTGTAATGTTTTGTAAAAAAAATCGTGAATATCAAATATGTACAGTAAAAAAAGGAAATGTTTATTTGGTCTGGTGATGCCGCCAAATAAAAATAGATTAAAAGATGTGTTTCCAGACAACGAAACATATGCCCACAGCAGCTCAGTCGTCCAGTTCGTTCGTAAACCCTGTTCGGGTTATGTAAGACAAGGATTATAACATACCGTGAAGTAATTATTAGAAATAGTCATAATTTGTAAAACATTTATTATACAAAACATTTACTGGTAATCAGTTATTCAAGTTATCGAAGATCGTAGACATTCAATAGGTTTTTCGTCGCATAAACATGAACACCACGCCTCCTTCCCAACCCACGTGCTCACCCCCCCCCCCCCCCAAACTGGCCTTATCTCCTCCCCCACCGACCTGATCTCTCCCCCTCCCCCAACCATCCTGGTCTCCTCCCCAACTGGCCTTATAATATCTTCTCGAACCCAAAGGGTCTCCTCTCCAACCGACCTAATACCCCACTCTCAACCGGGTTTTACTACACCACATCTTGCCTAACACCCCAATCCCAACCAGCTGTTCCATCCAACTGCAAGGTGGGGCGGGGGGTCACGGTGGCTAAGTAGGTAAACGCTGGCTCGCTAGCCTGGAGGTCGGGTGTGCATTGGCCGAGAAAGTTCATCCAGGTTTTCCGGCGTGGTTCCCCCTTGTCAATGATGCAGGACGGAGGACCTGACAAGGACAGCTGTCTGGCCGTTGGCGTGCACGTAAAAGATCCCTCGACAGTTGGAATTCGATATAAGAGTAGTCGACTGTAGTACCGCTGTCCGGGCAAAATGTCCCTCATAGCACAGTTCGGAGCAAAACAGTTGGACGTTAAACTCCATTTCATTTCATTTCATTTCCAACTGCAAGGTGAAAGTAGTGAACGCCAAATCAAAGATTAGTTTCTTAATTCCAACTAAAACCAGTTATATTTATTATCTATATGATATCACGTTACAGAAACCAGTCTATGTTTTTATAAATGTTAGTATCGTTTATATATATAATGACACGAGATATAATCTGTGTATGTTTTGCTGTGTATGAGATGATATGAAGTGAAAGTAGAACATGTTAGATCTGTTACTATAAATATCAAATTACCTACACAGATAATAGTTACTCACACTACTTCATCTTTCTAAATTAACATGTCACTGCGCAATGTTTGTTTTAATCTTCCCCCATGTTTTCATGTTTTCTACCACAATCTTAGATTTAGACTCAGATATCACGTATTGCATTAAAGGTGTATTATGAAACAGCTAAAGCTACCTATTGGCAAATTGCAGGTATTTTTTCTGGCTTCAAATATTAAGCTAAATCTACCTATTGGCCAATTGCACGTCTTTTCTGGCTTCAAATATTATACAAATTATTATTAAGACATGTATGAAATAGCTTACTTAACGCCCGCTTCTACCGAAGTGATATCGCACACAATCAACTCTGTAGTAGATCATCGGATGGCTTGGATATTAATTGGATTTGACAATCCGTGCTATTTAAATGGTTAACGAAGAAATCGAAAATCGAGACTTCGTTTATTATCCTAGAAATGACAATCGAGGTTACGTTTTTCTCGTCAAAACCTCAAACAGTCATAACTTCACTCGGGATATAGTAATTTGACTAAAATTTTCAATATAATCATTTTTGATAATCTATTTTTTTAACTATTATATCAATAACAACCAGATCTTTTTCTAATTCTTACATAATGTATCTTTGATGACCACACTACTCGATGTGTGCAAATCATGGTAAATACAAACTGCATTCCTGTTATCAAAGTATTTTGTACAAATGTAAACTTGAAATTGATTTAAGATAATTTTTACATTTGGTATGTTTTAATATAAAACAAGTAAGATTGTATTTACGAAGAAATGTATTTATTCATTGGTCTAATATTGTATTATATACTTTGAACTCCATAAAAAAAACCCCATCAAATATGGGGTCTTACTGAAAACTCGGAAAAAAACCTGTCCTAGTTTTATCATTTCCGAGTTTTAGGTTTTGACTCCATGTTTTACCGAAGAAAAATAGATGTATTATTACACCTGTGTGCACTCCAATTTCCTGTGTGCGCTTTTAATAAAACATGTCAATATAGTTATATTTATAACTTCTGATTAAAACAGAACAAATAATTGGGGCTTTTAACACACCGCGTCTTGAAGTCACTGGTCGTCATTTGAGAGACTTTATATCCCTCTCAAACTACAGTCGGGGGGGGGGGGGCTGGATGGCCGAATGGTTATTGAGTCAAATGGCGTTGTTTCAATTCCCCGCTTGTACGTGACAAAGAGTAGGGTCGCCTGTCTAATCTCGTGAGTTTTCTCAGGGTCCTCCGGTTTCCTCCCACTGCTAAAGACCCCTACGCGCAATATTGTGAAAAGTTAAATGACTCGGATAAGCTGTTTTGACGTTCACGTCCAAACGGCTCAATATTTTGAGCTGAAACTTTCAGACAATGTAAATACACCATTTCTCGATATTTTGGGCGTTTAAACGAACTTTCATTTCTGAGACTCTGCGAAAATTTGGACAGTTCTTTTAAAAGGAATATCAGTCCAAAAATGGTCGTTAGTATTTACAAAGATTTGATAAATTCAATATTTTTCAACATTCGGTATCCTCAAATGCGAAATAATCCAAACAAGCTCGTGCCAGTTACAATCTCCGCAAAATCTTTAATGTTTTTTTTTTAAATCCTAAGCTGTGAAAAAAATTAGATAAGCAAATGAAAATCAGCGGGTTTAGAGAACGCTGGGCATGATCCTTTGAT